GGAGGGAAGCAAAAAAACACCCAAAGTGCTAAGGAAGTAGGACCAAAATTCATTGGAACACTACTTTTTACTAAACCCAGTCATCTAAGCCTTACACACTACCTAACAAAGCCACTGGTGTTTGAGTTACTGTCAAGGGAACTTGATAATAAAACACCTTCAGTAATGGAAAACTTTAAACCAGCTATGGTAAGTATGACTTCTTTTTTGGGGGGAATCATAAAATAAAACTAAGTTAACCTACAAGTGCCATACTGAAACTTTTCCAGAAGTAGAAACCAAGAGGCCACTGTTTTGTCTGTAGGCTTTTTTTTATTGTTGGTTAAGATTACGGGGTAGCTTTTTAGAGCATGAGACTTGCATTTTAAAAGTAATGTGACCTTATGTGTTGTTGCCTTACACAAATTCTTAACGCTGTAGGCTTAAATAAAATCCTTGCAAGACACCGAAAAGTCATGACAGAAACAAATGTTTTTTACGTGACTAGATTCCCCATGCTTTACTGTCGATTGCTTGCATGCAAGCTCTGAAAAGGAGAGAAATTAAGTGTTTTCTAGCTGGGAGGAGAAGGGCACTGCAAGTATTGCTGAAAGAACACTTATTTAAACACAGGTTAAGGATAAGCCTCCTCAGATGCTGTTTCTGCTGAATTCTCCTCTGTCATGGTGCCTACTACATTCCATTGCTTTTGTCTGGGCTTGGTATTTGGGAAATTTTGGTGAGGGCTGGAAGGTGGGGGGGCACGCTGGAAGCTGGTCAACAGTAAGGAGAGAAGGGCTGGTGTGGGAATTGTGGAGTGGGGTCAGGGTTTAACTTTAGTGGCCATTCATCAGATGATGATTGATTGCTGTGCAGTCCCGGGGGACGTTTAACAACATCTCCACCCATCCCCCTGCCCCCTTTGAAAGCAGATGGACCAAAAAATGGGGAGAGCGACACCCAGGAATTCCTGCTGTTGTAAAATGTTTTTACGGTGCACTGTACAGCCTTTCCTGAAGCAATCACATTTATGGCCTTGCTGTTGTATTTCTTGGGCTGCTGTGGCTGTAAAAGATGAATAGCCCTGTAACATGGTTCACTGATTCTGTTTAAATTGAAGTAGGCTCCCTTTATTGTTTTGTGTCTAAAATTGTATGCCACCAATTCAGGAAATATTTCCTGTTTGGGAAGTAATCAACCCACAGCTGATTTATTTTAAAATAAATCACTTTTAACTATCTCTAAAACTAGTCCCCTCTTCCTTCTGACTTGTATCTTCATTTAATTCTGTTGGAAATTCTGAAATACTAATTAACGTAGTGGAGCAGTTTAAAAAAAAATGCTACTTAACTTGCTTATTAATCTTCTTCCCCTTACTGGATCGTTAACAAAATGGGTGTTGGAAAGGCAGCGGTTTTTATCTTAATTATATTTTTACTTAATTACTTAATAATACTACAGAAAGAAAGAATTCATGAAATGCAATTCACACTGTTAATTTTTTTGAAAGGAGAAGTCTGTCTCTGCTTTCTCCTTTCTTTCCTTACTGCCCATCAGAACATTTGCATGGTTTGGAAAAACAAGCATAATTTGAAGGTATTTGCTTATAAACCATTTTTTCATACGTTTGGGTAAATAGTGAAATTAACAGGACAATAGTTAATTTACAACTTGATAGATCTTTTGGTTTGTATCGTCTTTGCCTCTTCAGATGTGGAGGGGGGAACTTACAGGACTTTCCTCTGAAGTACTGTTATGTGGGGTTTGTTTGTTTGTCTTTTCTGGTTTTTTTTTTTTGGGTTTTTTTTTTTTTTTTAGAGTATTTGAGGATTTTTTTTTTATTTAAAGCTGAGTATTATAAGTTGATGTCTGCTAAGGAAGGCCTAGTATTACTCTTCCATTTCCTCCTACTATTCCTGCCTATCCACACTTAAATATGAGTCCTGTTATTTGTCTTACAATGAGTATAGGAAGAGCAGGATGATGCTATAGTAACAGTGCAAATGAAATGTAGGGTGGCCTTCTCACATTGCTGAAATTGGAAGAAGGGGAAACTCTGCCAACATTTTAGGTACGCTGTACGTGCATCAGATCTGAGCTGAGAACACATTTGTGGATTGCCCTACATATATTGTTGGTATGATTTTTACAGGGAGTTGCTTGTTTGATGGGTGGGGGGTAAAGGGGGAGATTTGGCTTCCCCTCCTCCCTCTTCCCTTCCCCCTCCCCCCATTTAGAAACAGGCACAGAAACTTAATCTAGCAGTATGTGACCTTTGTGGCCATGACCTAGGGACTGGGATGTGAGCAGGCTTGAGCTTAACAGTAAATGCCTGGTTGTGGTTGGAAGCACAGGCAAGCTGGATGCTGTGCCCAAGCCCCTTAGCCCAACTGGCACAAATCCCCCTCCCTGTTGTGCCCTGCACATCTGGGGACTTACCAGTTTTATTCTCCGGGAGCGTGCCCCCTTTGCTGGGTAAAGCTGATGTACAGCCTGTTGGATGCTCCTGACAAGTATGTGAGATTGACCACAGGAGACTTGCCCTTGTACCTCTGCCAAGTTTGGGGATTCTGTTGTAGTCTTTGTGTGTAGAAAGGAGTTTCTGAGGAGTTGCTAGTTCATCTTGAAGCTGGCTGGCTTTAAATTCTCTTCTGGTGACTAGCTCCCTACCCCACTGAGAGCAGTAGGGGTAACACATTTGTGCTTTTGCATATGTTTAAGGTAACAGTGTAATGATGGAGGTCCATCCATCACGGTATGCTTCTTTTTGCCCAAACCTGTTAACTCTTTTGCTCTTAGATTAAATCTAGGTTGTTTTTACTGGTTTTGTTTTACAAAGAAACAAATGTGAGGCTTTATCAATGGCTCTGTAGTATTTACTCAAGACCTTCCCCTGCCATGTCCTATGTAATCTACATATTCCTGAAATGAGATTATGGCTCTTGTCACTCTTCATTCTAAATTTAAGAGTGATATTTCCCACCACATTTTGGTGGGTGACAAGAGGCAAATGAACAGCTTAAACTTGGTTTTTCTTTGTCCCAGTGGATACCTTTCATCAGGAGTGCCTGGGGTGACTCCTTGCAGCAGGAGTGACCAAGCTTTTGCTTCTGGTATTGGCTATTGTGGAGGACTAATAACAGATTTGATTTGCTTCTGGTCTTCTGTCATATGGTCACCATTTTCCTTTCAACTGCTCTACTTGACTGAGGCCCCAAATCCCTGCTGTATGTTTTTAAAGTATATCAGATTCATATGACTTTAACTTGATACCCTGTCTTGGTTTTCATTCTCTCTCAACTTCTCAGTTGTCTAAGTGGAGTTATTGGGGCATATGTAATAAAAGTTCCCTGTAATTTCAACAGAAAAATTACAGAACTGCATGTGCAAGTGAACATTGTATACAGATTTAGACAACTGCCACATAAAGACAAGGAGGCCTCTAGTTGAGGAAGATATTGCATTTAAGCAATGCATTTTGGAGCCAAGGCAGCTTTTTACTTGGTAAAGTCAGAGATCCTGAGATACTTAACTGCTTGAGGGTTTACTATTTGGACAGAAGCAAAACATAAGTCCATTCAGTTTCCCTACAGTAAAACTTAACTTTAAGAAAAACAAGGAGTTTTAGTAAAATCTGACATGTGCACAAACGCACACATAACCCTTTGAGAAATTAATCCATATACCACTTCAGCTGTTGCACTTACAGGAGCATAAAATGTCACTTTATGCAGCCCAGGCAGTCCAAGGGAATCACCTGTCCTGTCCTTCCCCTTCCTTTTGAGGGAGAACAGAAAGGGGGATGTTATGCACCGTATCACAAGCTGCTAGCTGGAATTGGGAGTGGCTGGATGACAGCTGGGAGAAGACAGGCATATCAAACACATGTCCAATCTTTGTTCTGCTCTTGCTCCTTTCTGTGAGGTAGACTTGAAATATCTGGTGATGGAAAAGTTGTTTGTAGAACAAAACCTTGTAACATTGTACTCTTCCACGGTAATCTAGATTTTCTGACGTTATGCTGTTGAGAAAAGTAGTGTATGTAGTTAAGGGCAAGACTTCAATACAGAACTTTCTCATGTTGAACTGTTGTACTCATTCATTTGCATCTTTGAAAACAAAAAACAATACAGCTGGCTTCTGCTCCCCTGTAAGAAAATACATGTCCATGGAAGATGCTAATTCTGTGTGCTACTTCCCTCTACTGGATGGAATGGAAACAGTTACAGCTGATGAATGAATCCAGCTTTCTAGGCTAACATCTTGGTGTAAGACTTTCATTGTGATTTGACTGTAGGGTTTGTAAATGCTTTATGAATAGAATGGGATATTAGTGGTTACCCACAGTTCACTGTGGCATTCAAATGATGGGCATGCTAAGGTTCCAGTCTCTTCCAGCTCGAGCATCTTGAAGCATCATTAGCATGGAAACACCATCATAAGCAAAGGTTTTTTGCTTTGCTGTTGGGAGTGGCAGGGGGGGCAGTTTTGCCTAATATTGTTGCTGCCCTGGACATAAGGGATTTGCATATTTTGAAAACATAGAGGATGGTTTTCTGCATGCATGATTTTGTTTTCTCTTTATTGGGGAGTGGGAGTGCTGGTGCTGTGGTTCTCCAGTGTATTGGTTATTGAATGACCCACTTAAGAGAATGTGATGTTTGTTTATGCAGGAAAAGTCTTCACCTGAAACTTGCCTTAGATGGCATCTCCGATCTGCAAGTGTTGGCAGATGGCTTCCGCTCTTAAGAGGAGCTGTTGTGGACACTCTTCCTACTATTGTATTGCAAAGAAAACAAGGATACTTCCATCTAACTGTTAGAGTATGATTTGGAGTTGACTGGGAAGGATAGCTCTTCCTCTGTGGAGAAACTATTGTGAGGTCTTTGCCTATTGCTACTGCCTCTAACCATCTCCTTTATAGTTGAGCTTTTGGATTTTTTTACATTCTGGTTCTGTTTTCTTTTTAATTCTTCATTAAATAATGATACAGATTTCTTTTTTCCTCCCTAAAGGTACTGCATTTCTACTGTGATACCTGTTCTGTCCCCATATGTCGTGAATGTACCATGGGACGACATGTGGGTCACAGCTTTATCTACCTCCAAGATGCCCTACAGGATTCCAGGACTCTCACCATTCAACTCCTGGCAGATGCTCAGCAAGGACGACAGGCTATTCAAGTAAGATACTCCCAACTTGAGTACTTTATTTCCCCCTCCTTCTCCCCCCCCCACAGCTTGTCTGTTACAGGGCAAGGTGTCAAGGCAGAAAGCTCTCTGCTTCTGCTGTCAGTCTTCTCACCCCTTCTGTTTTCTCAGATCTCTGACAGAAGTGGTGGTGGAGCTGAAAATAAAGTGCTGTTATGAGTTTTGCATTCTTGCAGCATAATCCTGTCATGTAAATCACAATATATATACGAAGCTCTGTACAAATGCACTTGGGTGTGAAGCATTATGAAGAAAGCTCTGGTCTTGTGTAGCGGTGCCAAACCTGGTTTTGTTTTTATCACGAAGACTTCTTTTTAGGATCTTTTCTGCCTGTACAGCATCTAACACTTTAACTACCTTTGACTGGTTATGTCTTAAGTGTTGCCGCCAAATACGAAATACTAATCAGCTGTTGGAATTAGTGTGAAATTTCTAACCTGCATGTGCAGAGACCATCTAGAGCTATCTCCGTTCAAGGATTACTCTGCACACACAGATGCATAGTATGCCTGTTATTCTATTCTACTTCAGCTATGTTTAATAATGCAAATATTTATATGTGGAATGAGGGTAGTATAGTGCTTCAAACTAGAAAAGGAATTTACGCAGGGAATTAAACTGCAGTGGCATGTAGATACTTACTTTTGCTGAGTAATACCTAGCAGTAACTACTATGATACTAGCAGTAATTTTATTTGTATAGATAGACTTTGGATCTGGAAAGCATAGTGGGAAACTTCACTCCGTATCTACTGCCTTGTAGTTTTGTGAATCTCATGTTCTAAACTTGAGCTGGATATAACAAAACTCAACAGTTTTATGTGCTTTAACTAATAAGATTTTTTTTTGAGTAAACGTTTGTAGAATGTCATGGATAGGAAGTAGACTAACTTTCTGAATTAGGTGTGCTTTCCTGGCACATGCATGGTATAAACAATAATTAAAATAGACCAAAGCTCACTGTCCACTCGTCACTGCTTTCTAGTAGATGAGGGAAGTAAACTTGTTCCGTGGGACAGGAGCAGCTAACCCTTTGCTCATTAATCTTTACCTCTGTGGAATGAAATAATACTTGATGGTATAGATAGTTAACAGTTGTTGGTGTCTCAGTTTAGCTTGCAATGTTAACTTGTTACAACAGAACAGTAAACACCAAGTTTTTGCAGGTGGGTGGTTAATTTAAAACTCTACCTTAAGGCAGAGTCCTGCAAAACTTAATTTCTTCCAAGATTTGTTTTAATCTGAATCATAAGGCTCGCCAGCAGTATCCATACTGTCCCCAAAATATCCCACATGTCCCCAAAATGAGCAAGAAGAAAGGGATTATGCTAGTTTAAAGATCATCAGAGTTCAGTGCAGTGGTGCAGTGTTCTGAATTTCTCCAGGCTGTCCTAGACAAGGGCTTGTCTGTTAGTAATTAAATTATTGCTGTTGACCTCCAGGGCTCTTAATCATCTAACAGGTGAGGCTAAATCACTGAAGAAGGGACTGTGCCTTGGAGTAAAAACGAGCAGGGATAGCATTGAGTACCACTCTGCTAGTGTTGCATGAATGCTCTTGTGCCTGGTTTCCTTCTTACTGAGTTTACTTTGTGCGGTCCTTCCCCATTTTCTTCTGGCTTTTATGGTGGAGGCTCCTGCCATTGTGGTGAGCTGATTATTGCATTGATGGGGCAGATAAAAGGTGATGGTACTGGTTATGTTCATGTAACTCGAACAAGCAGTTCTACTGAATTTAAGTTTGTACAGTTTCGCCCTGGTCTCACTACACAGCCCATCCAGGTGAAGAGGCTATCTTGGAAGTGTTAAACGGGTGTCTTGTAAAGATCTGTAAAATGAACCATGCTTTCAAGAGCTGAGTTATTTTATTGGTTTAGTGGGCTTTTTAATCTGGATCACTGTAAAGAAGGGTAGTCAGCAAACAGATTATAAATTTGAGGGGGTGGTAATCTGTATGTGCATATGCAGGAATGGGAAGATTGTTCAGTTCTAGACAGCTACTGCTGAAGCAACATCAGCAGCAACTAAAAGAGCACGTGACTTAAAATCAAAGGTGCCCAATTCAAAGGGTTGATACAATGAAACTGCATCAAGTTTACATAAAGCAGAACTTTCCTTGTTGGGACAACAGGACTGTGAAGCTCTAAGTTTATCCTAGGGAGGAAGACAGCATGTCAACATGGATTTGAAACAAACTCTAAAGTTAACTAGACTCTAAATTAAAAGAAATTGGCTTGTGTGGTTTTCTTAAAGTATGGAAATAGTCAACAGAGAATTAAATGCCAGTACAAGCTGTAATATGAGGAACATATTGCTTTAGAGCTCCTCTCAGACTGGAACTCTAAGAGGCTTGAAAAGTAATATGTTGTAGTAACACTTCTTAGTTTGACTGATTCCTAATGCTGTACTAGAAACTCTTAATAGGCTCTGAAAGTGATAGCTCCCCTGACATGAGATGTTGAGGATGGATGAGGAGGGATAGTTGAGAGTAAAGGGGAAAAGGTGGAATTTGAAGGGCGTTGCAGGAGAGAGGAAATCAAGCCATGAGTCAACTGGCTGGAGAGTATCTGGTTAACCAAAGTTGAAGGCTTTTAGGAAGAAATGTTTATTTAAACTCTTCCTGTGGCTTTGGAGGAAAGATTGTTTTTCAGACTTAAAAAATTTGCTGTGAGTTGGGATACATTTCAGCCTCTTGATCCACTGAAGCCTGATGTAGTCTGTCACTCCAGAAAAGTCCAAACCTCACTTTTCAAAGGAGTCGAAGTCCTCTGTAAGAAATAGCAAGCCTTGATAGCAAGTGGCTTGCTCTTTTTTTTTTTTCCTCAGTGAAATTCTGTAGCAATGGAAAGCTTTCTCTGCTTCTCTGTGCCACAATGGTCAGAATCATGCATTTCTAAGCCTGTCCCTAATACAAGAATTTGTGGTTGTGTGCCTGTGTGGTGAGTTGATCCAGCTGAATGGGTAACCTTTCCGTGGGATTAATTTTTGGCTGGGTCAGCCCCCTGGCTGATTCACTGTACTGCTACAAGGACTGTCGATGGTGCCAGGGAATGAAGCAGAAACACCCAACTCAGTTGCTTGTAGGACCTCTTTCTTATCTCAGTGGAAACTTATCCTCCTTGCTGGGATACTTTTCCAGCCTTTTCAGAGACTCAGATGGATTCATAGGATGATATGAAAGCCAAAGCTGACACTGGATTAATGAGGTGGGAGGAATCAGGACTGCTTGCTGCCTTTCTATGCGGGGAGCATGTCCTGCTGCCTTGTTTTACCTCATGAAAGTGCACACTTAGCTGTCTTCTTTCAGATTTTTTTCCAAGGACTAGGTCACAAACTGAACGTAAATCTGTTATGATGAAAGATAAATGGCTTCTTCAAAATGTCACGTTCTTAAAATACATCTATACGTGTGTAACTGTATATATGTATGTATGTATGCGTGTAATCTAATGCACTTGCCTGACAGTAAAGCACTGAGTGCTCACTCCCATTTAGGGTTAATTTTCCAGGTGAACATATTACAATAAGATTTGATTTATTCATCTCAGTTGTCTTAAAAGTGGTTTTGTTGGAAAACAAACAAATTCCTTTATAGCTGAGCCTATAATTGTTTTTGCTGGGATGTTTGACAGTGCAAGCTTCTCACTGACCAGTGAGACTGGTCATGTGCAGAACATAGTGGGAGCTACTCTCTTATCTACCGTCATGAAAAGCTTAGGAGCGGGTGGTAAGGCAGGTCAGACATTAAGGCAATGCCTCTTCCCTCCCAAATTGTGGAGGAGGTGGTATGAAGTAAATTAGCGCCTTTATGGGGGGCGAGGGGATACTGTAAGAAACTCAGCCAGCCAGAAGAGGAAGCTGATCTGTTGCCTTGAGCCTCTGCCCTTCAGTGGAAGCTTCCCTGTGGGTTGCCATATGGATTTGTGCTGCTGGGAGGTCGATACCTGAGAAGGATGGCACCGCTGTGCTGCAAGGGATCGTTTTTGGGTTGTCACTTTGAGTTAGCTCAGGCCCCCTTGTGTGTGGCTTTGAAGTCAGGTTTGTGGGTTTGAGAATCTGAAATGAAACTTTGTAAACAAAATGGAGTCAATTGTGCTTTCCTAAATCTGGGATTTTTATCAATAGAGGCTGAATTTCTTCGTACTTCTAGTTATTGTTTTGTGTTGTATTTCAGTGGGTTCCTTAGTGCAGCATATGAGCAGATGGTTATCGGGGAGGATGAATTTGATGTGTTTCACTGTCTAAACTGTCTAAACTACTGTTCTACCTAAAACTGTAGGCAAAAAGTCTGTTCTTGCCATACAAACCAAAATGATTGTTTAGTGGTATCTGACGTGAGGTTACCTGGCCTCTAGCCCTCTCTCTATCAAAGCTTCTTTTAAAATTGTCTTTGTGGGGAACTTTGAGAATGGTTTAGTGTTTTATGCTTATTACGCTGAAACATGTAAATTGGTCCAGCTACTGTGATTTGTGCTATATCTGCACCAATATTACTGCAAATGCACTGCTAAGCTTGTTAATACTAGTGTCTTTACTGTAACTATACTCTGTAGGATCTTCCAGTTAATTTTTCTAGTGTAGGAAATTTATATCCAGTTCTTGATGCTGAAGGCAGACTGCTGTTATGTCCTGGTTTTATTCTGCTCTGAAACAGTGATAAGTAACTGGAAACTTAGTGAAACAAGCCCATTGTATCTTTTTGTTACCATAAGGAACTGAAAACAAACCATTTATGGCTGGAACACCTTCCATTTGGTGGAAGAGGGATAACTTGAGACATACCAAAAGGTTTCCTTGAGTGGTTTGGGTTTTTGTTTTGTTTTGTTTGGTTTTTTTTGTTTTGTTTTGGTTTTTTTATTATTATTTAATGTGCTTTTAAAAGCCGGAGAGGAGTTTGTTAAGTTAATGAATAGGCATCTCGGCTTTTTCCCCCCCTTAAGCAGGGATAACTTAGTCTTAAATTCCTTGAAGTGTAAATCCTCCCTAGTGATGTAGGGAAGTGTGTAGTTAAGATTCTTTAGCCAATACCTGTGGTCCATTCACCCCTGAAATATTGGAGAATTCCTCAGAAGAAAACAAAATTTGCTTTTAAGTTTGAATTTTCTCTCCAGTGTTTGTACCTTCGTTGGAAAACTTAAAATAGGAGACTTAAATATAGGAATTAATGCCTGAGAAATTATGCATCCTTCTTTTCTTCAGATGGATGGAATAAAAAAATCCTAGGGACCTTTTCAAAAATGTTGACGCAAGCCAGCATTGCAATACAGTTACTGTAAAGCAGCCTTTACGTGTCTCGTGGTGCTGGTACAGTGGCATGTTGTGCTGCAGTTTGTTCAATTGGATAATTTTCAGAACTGAATTGATGTAATCTATCATCATGGCTCAGCATCTGGATTAACAGGCTCTGCTGTTTCAGAGACCTAAGTTAGCTTCTTCAAATAACTGTGTGCTGTGTGGATGTAACTGTGGACATACTGATTTAGTTTGAGTATTGGACAGTGGAAACCATGCAGTGAGAGCATCAGCACCCTTAAAGTCACTCTGTTCTTGTTTGTAGTCTGTCAGAACACGAGCTTTGTAATAGTTTTTTCTTTCTCCTGAAGTGTTATATGTTTCTGATCATAATTTTTAATTTAAAGAACCAGTAGCAAAAACTTGGAGCAGCGATATTTCTAGAACACTAAATATTCCATGGGAATGTTTAAATTAACATGAAATTGTAGGAAGTTTTTTGTAACTTGAGGGTCCATTTCCTAATGTCCAACAGCAGACAGGAAGTGTGAAAACTGACTGAAACTGCCATTCTACAGAATGGCAAATCCTGATTTGGGCCCCTCTGTGGTCAACCCAGACAGACATCCAGAAGTGCAGCCAAGTTCTACAATGCTACTTTGCTTCTTCTGACTCTTGCAGTTGGTTTATTCATAGATTTGTGTTGTAGCATCAGTAGCTGTGTCAGTGTCACTGTAGTAAGATCATTACTACTTTTTCCCTCAGGCAATAAAATGTAGATGAAGGGGATCTCACGGAGGTGCCCACCTAAAGGGAGCTTGCAAAGGATGCCTGGGTTCCAATACAGCTTCGCCCTTCACTTGTTACTCAAAACTGAAATGTGCTGGTAGCAATAACTAGTAATGGATGTCCACACTGCTTTCCTTCATGAGAACAGTTTTGTCTGCTCCACTGGAAGCTCCATGTGCAAAGTTTCCTTGTGTTGTGGCCCTCTGGAACCATATCACCTTGCATAAGCACTGTTGCTACTTAAATTTTACTCTGAGGAATTAGAAGTACCATTTTCAACCCTAAAGTTTACAAGATACGTTGCAAAGTGTTTTACTTGTTTTTAACAAACACAAGGCACTGGTGACATCTCTAATAAAATGAGGAGTGGTATTGGCTGTCTTTGGAACCCTGAGAAGCCACAAGTGAATAGGCACAGCTGCAAATAGGCGATTTACTGTATTGGCCAACAGCAATAAACAAAGCAGTTGTTCTCCATCTCAGATTCAATAACTCAGCACAATTCTTGGCTAAACACAGGCCTTGCCTTCTATCTCCCAAGCATGTGAACTGGTTGACCATCTTATTCACTAGCGCTGGAAAAATCATGACATACCATGAGGAGAGTGCATCATAAAAGCAGTTTTTCTTTACAAGAAGTTATTAAAAAGATTCTGTGATGTTTGACCAGAACAAGAAACACTGCTGCTTAGCATGTTTCCTAAAAAGTTGACCTCTCTGAGACAAGTTCCACACAGGAAATGCCTGCAGAACAGCAGGAGTGAGTTTTCGTGGCAGAACTCTGACATCTTACAGGAATCAAAGTGAACAAGAGGTTTCCATGTAAAGTAGGCTCCCAAAAGTTATACTTAATGCTCTTGGCTTTTGCTTCAAATATAGATAACTTGTCTATTGCTATTCCCCCCCACCATACCTCTGCATATTTGGTCATCTGGTCATCCTTCCTAGGCTGTTCTAGCTTAAATGAGCAGAGTCCAGAATCATCTGAATTTTACCAAAGCTTTACTAATATCCTGGACAATATTAGAGCTTTAGTGTTTTGGGCATCTCTCACTGATCTGAGCTGTTCATACTTGGGCAAGTAAAAATAAATTCAGATGATGACATGAATTGTTGATGGACAACCTTGTGTTATTGAGTTTAGCTACTTGCCCTACCCATAACTGGTTCCTAAAGTTGAAAGATTGCAGCATCCATGGGGAATTGCTACCTCTCCTGCTATGGTGGAGTTCTTGAAAGGTGGACTCTGGTTTTAGTGGGGAATCATGAGGGAAGTTGGGATTGCTCTTATCTGTAAGGTATGAAGGAAGCATATACACAGATCATGGTTCTAATGGGTACTGCTATACACAAAGCACAAATAAGTAATCCAGACTTTCATGCTTTCACAGACATTCTTGTTAGAACTGGAATATGACTGGATAGCACAACACTTCTCAGGGAGATGCATCTTTCTCTTTGTAAGAGAATGAGGGGATTTTGCCCTACTTGATGGGAATCCAGGTCTGTTTTGGAAGAAATGCATACCTTTTCCCTGCAGTAGAAACAGGTTCTGTATTTGAATGGCAAACCAGAGGTGACAGAGGCACAGTATTCTTACATGTGGACTCTTCCAGCTAGGCCTGAGGTTTGCTGGCTCTTACAAAGCCTTAATCTGGGGCCATTTCTGACGTCATTTGCTAAATGTGTAATGAGATTTTAATTTTTTGTCAACTTTAAATGTTAAGTCAAATTTGCCTGCCAGAAACTGTGAGAAGGCAGTTTGAGGTCTACCTCCAGTTATGAAATGGACTAGTTCCTCAGATGTGTAAGAAAAAGATAAGATTTGCCTGCTTTTTTTATTTGATTTTTATGCCTCTTTCTGTAATATTCTATGAAACTGCGAGTAGCTTGGGAAGGATTTTTTGAGGAAACAGTTCTTAATTTGAGAGGAGAAGAGAGACGTATTCCTTTCAGGTGCATTATGCATATTTGCAAAATACTACTACAGAATGTTTTTCAAATACTAGTATTGCAAGGTTACACTAGAAAGAATTTGGTCTCTGAGTTGTAAACAACTGTATGACTGCTTTTTAATGATAACTGTCTGATCTTTGATTTTTCTTTTAAAATTGATTAACTTCACATTCTGTTAGGGGTATTTCAGATGCATAGACAGCATAGTCTGTTCCCTACAGTGTAATTTCTTACTGGAAGCAGACCCATCCCACAGTGAGAGTCTGAACTGTTTGGAGGGAGTAGACAAACCGGGTTCTCTATATTTAGTAAAACATTAATATGAATTTCTGCGCCAGTCTCTTGTTTGCCATACTAGCTGCTTGCTGGAATTGCACAGGGAATTTAGTCCTAGGGTGTTGATGCATGATACATTGAAGGTGTAAACTCCATGTAATAGATGTATTTAAAAACTAATGTCAGTCTTTAAGCTCCAGTGTATGAAACGGGTGAAGGCCTGATAAGAAAGTAAGAGTTGTCACTTTATGCCTTCACTTGAAGGTGTAGTGAAGTGTAAGCAGTAGTCCTCTGATGCATTTTTAATTGGTTTGGTTGAACCTTAAGTGTGTTTGTCTTTTTTTTTTTCTCCACAGCTGAGTATTGAACAGGCCCAGGCTGTGGCAGAGCAGGTTGAGATGAAAGCGAAGGTGGTACAGTCTGAAGTCAAAGTCGTGACTACTAGACATAAGAAGGCCTTGGAAGAGCGGGAGTGTGAGCTGCTCTGGAAGGTATGCACCCTTACATTTGTGGTTTGTACTGCTGACAAGTGCCTTTTCAAACTGAAAAAGTCCTTAAGCTAGTATATGGTCAGAATCTGATATCCAAGGAAAACTGAATCGAAACACTACAATTTACCATGAATTATTTTTTCTGTAGGTAGCAGGGTGCTGGGTTCTGGCCCTGGTTGATATTGTGCTGGAGGTTTTTGTAGGGGCTGCTTTATCCTCAGAGCAGCCCCACACATGAGGTGGGCACTCCCCCTGCTGGCTCAGCAGCTGGCCAGGGAGATCCCATTTAAACACCATGTTTAAAGAAACTCTTCAAAACATCTTTAATATGTTGCTGTAGAACTAGGTATATAGTGTTTGGGTTTTCCAGTCCACTTCTCATAAAGGACAGGAGCAAAGCTGTGCATGTTGCCCTTTTTTTAAAAAAAAGACTAGTAGAAATTCTGTGAGACTAACTTTCATTGTGCCCATAACTACAAACCTTTACTCTTAATCAAGGTAGTGTCTTCCCTCTGATTATTTTTTTTTTAAACTAGTATAACAAAAGAATACTTTCCAGCAAGAGTATCTGCACAATGCCAAGCTCATGGCCTAATTTCAGCCATGATGCATGTGTGGTATTTTGAGAGGAGGAAAGGAAGTAACAGCCAAGTTCCTTATTCCGGAAGGGTAACTTAGTGGTTGTGGCTCTTCTCTGCTTGTTTAGCACAGATTAGCTTGGATAGGCCCTGTGGGTCCCACTTGCAGAATTGAACAGAAACACTCTGCTGTAGGATTAGGACTCTTAGATAAGTGAGTCAAGCTGACTTGTCCTGTGACCACATGATTGCTAGGACTATTAAAGGGGAGCAAAAAACGTGTGGTCAAGATGGGAGAGGTTTATGAGTAAACTGACAATGCTCCTATAATAAGCAGTCACACCAGATAGTGTGGCTGGAAACCAGGTGCTGTGTGGCTGCTGCCTGTACTAGCAGGGCCAGGCAGGATGGCTTGTACATGTCCTTGATGAGGCACATGCTGCCCAGAAGCAGTGCCATCCTGCTAAAGCATTTCTCCCCTCTTCTCCATCAACATTAACTGAAACAGTAATTTTCTGGTTTAATATCTGTTGTCAGCAAAATGGCTAATCTGGTAAGAATTTATGGTGTGGAACTGCTCTAGCTACAGTGAGACTAATCCCCTACAGGAGAAGTTTTTTGTTTTTCTACAGTTCTTTTTATAAGTGTCAGTGGCAAGATTAAAAATACACTTTATAGAGTTACTGTACTTCTAATGCTGCTTTTTCTGAGGTTTTGTATTGAGGGAGACAAGTTCACTTTCCACTATTAACCTTCTCCAAGAAGCTTGGCAGCTTTCTCTTTTGAGGTATTCCTAGTATAGGAAGAGTAAGAGCTGCCCCTAAGCTATTTTTATCCCAAGAGGTTGTATAAATGCACTTCATTGTAATATCTGCACTGATAGCAAGTTTTCTTCAAGTTATAAAACATTATTTTAAGATGGAAACTTGGTGGTGATGGTAAATGATTCTAGCAAAACAAGCTATCCAAGCCCTTGTATCAAGTGTGTTAATGAACAATTTCGGATACCAAAGCTGAGTCTAAGGATTGAGCTGAGACCTAAGATTAGTAATTTGTCTTGGAAATCTGTTGGAGGAAACCTCTCTAATTTTTTTTAAATAGTTTGGTAAAACCTGCATGCCTGAACTTTAAATGAAATAGTATGCTTGTACATATGTTATCTAGACAGTGCATAGCCAAGGAGTCTTCAGACATTGAGTCTTCCTTCATTAAAAAACATATCAGGTATTGTTCTGCAGCCAAGCAGGTATTCAGACATCAGGAAATGTATTTTTGCAACAAAAAAGCAAATACATTTCATTAGTTTCACAAAGCAGGTGTCTTTGCCAGATGGTCCAAAGTGGTTTTTCACAAGTAAAGATAAACAGAGGCTTATATAAAGGAGAGTTACAAGCCAATCGTTTTTGCACAAACTTCAGTCCCCCAAACAGGGACTGGCAGCAACCTTCTGTGTCATTTGAAGTGACATTGACAAAGCATCCTGTTGTAGAGCATGAGCTCAGTATGACTGCCAGTATTTACAAGAAAATATTAAAATAATAGGACCCTAAAAATCCCTGGAGATAGATGTCTGGTATTGCTAGTCGGATGAAAACGTTGCTGGCAGGCAGGGGAATGACAGGAGCCCACATGCGTTAGCTGATGCTGACTCTGAGCCTCAGTCAGCTCTGTGTGATAACAGTCCACTTTCTGAGGTTGGTCTCAATTCTGGTTAGCGAAGCCTCAGCCTCTGCTCCTTCTTGAGAGCCTGCAGTAACCTCTGTTCTCCCTGGGGGCTAGATGAGATGTGCTTTCAGTTGATCTGTCAAATACCTTGCAACTAGAAAACAGAATAGCATTTGAGGAAGCAAATATTTGTTAGTAAGCAAGTGACTCTCCCTTTCAACTGGCACTCTGCAGCAGATCTGCAGGATAAGAATGTATGGTTTTGCATGGAGGGTAGGAAATAGTAATAATCCTGAATTTGGATAATTAATTACTTTTCCTCATTTCTACTTGTCTACATTGTGGCTTCTGGAGGTTTGTTCTGCAGCTGTGTCAACGTGCTCTAACACCTGGTCAGCTGTTTTTATGTAGAAGGGTGACACTAGGTAATGTCTGTGGTGTGGGCTGTCTTTCCTAATGTAAGTGTGCTTTTCTCTCTCCCTTGTCTCCTGCAAGGTGGAAAAGATTCGTCAAGTCAAGGCTAAGTCACTCTACTTGCAAGTTGAAAAGTTACGTCAGAACCTAAACAAGCTGGATAACACCATTAGTGCTGTTCAGCAGGTCCTGGAGGAGGGTCGTACCATGGATATTCTTCTGGCTCGGGACCGCATGCTGGCTCAGGTGCAGGAGCTGAAGAATGTGAGAGGCCTTCTCCAGCCACAGGAAGACGACAGGATCATGTTCACTCCCCCTGACCAGGCATTGTATATGGCCATTAAATCAATGGGCTTTGTCAGCAGTGGGGCTTTTGCTCCTCTGACCAAAGCCACTGGGGAAGGTCTCAAGCGTGCGCTGCAGGGCAAAGTGACCTCTTTCACCGTGATCGGCTACGACCACGATGGTGAGCCTCGCCTTTCAGGAGGCGACATGATCTCTGCAGTGGTGATGGGCCCAGATGGAAACCTTTTCGGGGCAGATGTCAGCGATCAGCAAAATGGGACCTACCTGGTCAGCTACCGTCCACAGCTCGAGGGAGAGCACCTGGTGTCCGTGATGATGTGCAACCAACACATTGAGAACAGCCCCTTCAAAGTGGTGGTGAAGTCTGGGCGCAGCTACATAGGCATTGGGCTGCCAGGGCTCTCCTTTGGCAGCGAGGGAGACAGCGACGGCAAGCTTTGCCGCCCCTGGGGGGTTAGCGTCGACAAAGAAGGCTACATCATTGTTGCCGACCGCAGTAATAACCGCATCCAGGTGTTCAAGCCATGTGGGACCTTCCATCACAAGTTTGGCACGCTGGGCTGCCGGCCAGGACAGTTCGATCGCCCTGCCGGCGTAGCCTGTGACATTTCGCGTAGGATCGTTGTGGCTGACAAGGACAATCATCGCATCCAGATCTTCACATTTGAGGGGCAGTTCATTCTGAAGTTTGGGGAGAAAGGAACGAAGAACGGGCAATTCAATTACCCATGGGACGTGGCCGTCAACGCAGAGGGCAAGATTCTGGTCTCTGACACGAGGAACCATCGCGTTCAGCTGTTTGGGCCCGACGGCGTGTTCCTTAACAAGTATGGCTTCGAAGGGGCACTCTGGAAGCACTTTGATTCCCCCAGAGGTGTGACTTTCAATCACGAGGGCCACTTGGTAGTGACAGACTTCAACAACCATCGCCTTCTGGTCATCCATCCAGATTGCCAGTCAGCACGCTTTCTGGGCTCGGAGGGCACCGGGAATGGCCAGTTCCTGCGCCCGCAGGGAGTGGCGGTGGATCAAGAAGGGCGCATCATCGTGGCCGACTCCAGAAACCACCGGGTGCAGATATTCGAGTCAAATGGTAGCTTTTTATGCAAGTTTGGCACTCAGGGAAGCGGCTTTGGTCAGATGGACCGTCCTTCAGGTATAGCTGTCACCCCTGATGGCATGATTGTTGTGGTCGACTTTGGAAACAATCGAATTCTCGTCTTCTAATCTGTGTTTGAATTAGGAAGAAACTGTCTCAGGGAAATTCTTCTAAGAGAAAATGAAAAAATACAACGTTAATTCAAACCTACCTCATCTTTAATTTTTTTACAGATGAATGTACTTATCTTTTCTGCAGGGAGTGAGCCTGTAAAAATGAATTCTATCTACCTCATCGTCCTCCTTTCCCTCCCCAGTTTCTCGCCCTCTCCCCATCCCCACACACTCATAGTTCAGAACATTTTACCTCTTTTCCCCCCAATGGGGTTTCATGCACAAACAAGTGTTGCTGTGCACATTAGGTGGTTTGTGTGGTGAGTTCTGTTAGACTAAGCCAAAAAAGGCGCTATGTAAGTTTTTAAGTGGAGAAAATGGTAGTAGGTGTTTGTAGAGAATTTGTTTTTCTTGACCATACTGCAGTTCTGTGGGTGGGGATATGGGAGGGCGGAACTTTTGTTTTGTTGGGTTTTTTTTTTTGAATTGCTGCTGCAGCAGAGAACTTTTTCCTGTTCTCCTTTTTTATACCTCAGTGTGTTTGATTTACTGGTGAGCACAGCATCTTGTTCCCAGATGACTTTGAACGTTTTGTGAAAGTGAGTGCGATTCACTCGCCAGGAAGAGCAAGTTTGCATCTTTTTGGCATTTCTGTATATTTTTTTCTGAAAGACAGTAATATAACAGCACAAAGCGAAGCTGATGAAAATGCACAAAAATTCTTTAAGTTTAAACCAAATTGTTCATTTTAGTGACTTAGTGCTGTTGTTGTAAAGGTTAGATAAAAAGCAAGGCTTCCTTTAATGTATTCTGTCATTGAGTATTTCTTTTTATTCCTTTTCACCTGAAAGCTAAATTAGTTTTAAAAAAGTTAGTGTTTCTTATCAGTGCACCTAATCTGGGTAACAAGAGGTTACAAGGAGCATTGAAACAGGGAAAATCAAAACCCTTTTGATTTACTTTCTTTGAAATTACTAGCTTTTTTTGCCCCTCCCCATAGAGAGACTTTAAGGGAAATAACATTTGAATTTGTTAGAACAGAAGTGGTACCTTTTTCCAAAAGTAAGAAATAAGCACAGCTTTGGAGATTCAGGGTGTGTTTTGGAGAAGTCAGCTGATCGAGGTTTTTTGTTGTTGTTGTTGTTTAAAGAGGATTGCAATAACTCTATCAGTGACAAAAATATTTTTTGTTTTTGTATTCTGGCTTCCCCAAAGAGCTGGACTGAAGAATTTGGGAATGTCTACTGTAGCTTTTAGGGTGGGCCTGTAGCTCCCTACTACAGGATTTCTTGCTACAGATCCAAGTGAAGAGTTACCAGTACCAGCGTAAGGCAAACTGCATCAAGATGAAACTTTGCTGCTTTTTTTCCAGGGCAGTACCAAAGAATTCTGTGTAAAATCCATGTATATGATCCTTAAAAGCTTGGAGGCACGGGAAGTTTGCCCTTTTGGGGATACAAAAACGCGTTTTGTGAAAAGCAGAAACCTTTGGGGAAAATAGAGATCTCTTCAGCAAAATGTGACTTTGAGTCCCTGGAAGGATTTGGTTTTATTCTTCAATTTCTTGCATTCCAGTTTAGCTGTTAATGCAGATACGACCTCTACAGATGTGTAGCTTCACCTTCTGTTGTTGGCAAACAAGAATGGTTAAAGTAGGGAACAGAGGGCTCTTCTTTCTCTCTGCAGTGGAAACTCTTGTATCAGTACTCTTAAGGCTTGGAAATGCCACGGGATTTGCCTTACTGTTTGCAAGAGATCTCTGAAACGTAAACATGGTCATTGTCAAAAAGTCTGAAGAGCCTTAACCATCCTCCAAGGAAAGGGTTCATCTCTCTGCCAGCCACCCTGCACAAAAGTGACCTGAGATTGAAAGGCTCTTTACAAGTTTGTGAGAAATCACAAGGTGCACTTTCCTTCTTGCTGCTTTTCCCTCCAAGGAGCATTAACTTTCTGGGTTTTGTAGAAATACTGATGACGTGTGCAGACAGATATAGCTGCCACTTTAGAGGAGGTTTAAACTAAAGAACCAGAAGGAGACAAAGATTAATGAGATGGCAAAACCTTTCAAAAGAAGGGTGAGGAAAAACACCTAAATTAAATGAGATAAAACAACTGTGCTGCCTTTCAGCCAAAGCCTCACGGAAACAAACTCTTCAAAGCAGTGTGTTTCAGTTAGGCTTAATCTTAGGATGGCATGGTTTAAAAACAGTCTTTAAAGGATGATGTTTTTTGTGGACGTCTGTCATTAAATTTCTGTGGCCACTCAAAATATGTGTATGAGAGAAAGCTAGTTTACCATCAACTTTTGCAAGTTCTGCTTGTAAACATGCCTCCCTTCCAGGGGGTGGCCTACAGCTGTGACAGATGTCCATGTTTGTCTTGTATTATTCAGCAACATGGGCTTTGAAAACTAATACCCTTCAAGATCTAAATACCAAAGAAAACTGGTTAAAAAAGCTTTAATGTATAGTTTGCAGTGTCCTCACATTTATCCTATCATGTCTTAATGAAAATGCCAGGTCTCTTAATACTTTGACCAGAGTGGCTGACAGTGTTGGAGTGTCCTAGAAATGCTCTTGTGCTTTAATGCTTGTCAGGTTCACCCTTTTCTGGGGCTAGAAGGGAGTTGTTTTTCCAGACATTAAAAAAAGAAGTGTGCAGTCGGGATTGTGTTGGACTGGAGGAACCCTTTGCCCCTCTCCAGCCTGCACAGCGTAGAAGGTGGCAGACACTTAAGTTGCCCTTTGCTGATTTGTATGGAGCCATCGCACAAACCCCCAGTCCAGGTCAGTCAGGAAGAGAAGTGACTTGAACTCTTTATAAGTTGCTATCTATTTAACTCAGTGGGATTTGCTTGCAAACTGAACCTCAAGTGTTTGACCTCATGTATTGAGGAGCTTTTTCGTTTTAAAAACACTACTATTTAGCTACCCAAAAAGAATTTCTTATCTTTGTCATAGATAGTGCTAAGCACACTTGGTCTCATTGAAAAGTGGTAGTGTAGCTTATAAAATGGAGTGGTTTATATGCAATGAAAAGAAGTAGTGCTAATATACAATGCCAACATCAGCTGCCCCATAGGGGCCTTTAAAAAGTAATGGACTTAAGTGAGATTCAAATCTTGCTGTGCTTTTCCATGCATGTTCTCAGGTTAATGCCCAAGTATCATAACATACATGCAGAAAGGAAAAGCAAGGCTTGGAAGCTGGATTGCAAACCAAACAAGCATTCAGAGTAACCTTCTTAGCTAGGGGAAATAGCCTGGAGAAAGGTTGAAGTGAGCGTGTGCCTCTCAGTTGGGGAACAGCAAATGTGGGTGACAGAGCTGTCTGCTAGAACTCCCAAAGGATTTTCACTATGCCAGGTTAAACCAGTGGCTCTAGGTAAACCTTTTGTTTGACAAAATGTAATCAGCAGTCAGTATGGCTGGTTTGGGTGTTCAGCCTAGGAGCAATCTTGTCCTTTCTCAGAATTATTTAAGCAGGAACTTCAGTAGCAAACTGAAGCAGATTCAGTACTTGATAACACAGGTCCTTCAGATAACTCACTCCTTTTTATTTAGTACCTTTTAAATATAAATTATTTAAGGAAACCCATAAACCTTAAACGTTTAAAGAAAGCAAGGGAAGGAAGACAATACCTGAAAACTAATATGTGTTGGGGCCAGACATAATCAAGCTGGGAGAAAGAACGAGGCACTTGGATGTGGCATTCCCTTGGAATTGCAGGAAAGTGGGCCCGGTCTGTTTATGTTACAGTTAAACCAAAATTAATTTCTGAAGAGAGAAGGTTTATAGGCTCATCTTGCCATAACTTTGATCATAAGATTTCATTGTTCAGTTCTAGGTTAAAAAAAATACTGTGCCAAAGTTTTGTTTATTTTTTAAAGGAGTGTAAGCCAAATGGTGCCAAAAGGTAATAGGGTATTTAAAAGTAGATATATTTAACAAACAGTTTGGAACTGTATAAAAAAGGAACACTGGTACTTGAGTTAGACAAATATTGTACCTTTGGTCTTTGAGTCCTTGGGAGTTTGAAACCCAGTTTGCTGTGGTACAAAATGCACAACTAGAGATGCCACTATCTTTTGTTTGAAGTTCTACCTCACTTAGCAGAAGTAAATCATCTACCTCAATTTAGCATCTGACAGGTTTGAGTTGATAATCTGCCTGGGGGAAGGATTCATCCTGCCTATTGGAAAAGCATTTTAATTAAAATGGAGATGCTAAGTGTGTACTATGTGGTGACTGCTTGCTTTTGTTTGCTTTTGTTTTTGCTGCCTGCCTATGGAGATATTAAGCTGCCCTTGCTAGAGAATCTGTAAATAAAACCAAATGTTCAGGCAAACTGGACTGAGACCCGAAACACTTCCAAGTTTGTTCTGGTTTCACTATGGGGCATGGAAGCGTAAACTTTTGTTCAGTATTATGACACTACTAGCTGACATGACATACTTCATGTTCATTTGCAGTGTTCCTATGCCCGTAAGACCTTTAGGTCTTCTCTCTACAAGAGAAAAACTTACGCATGCCTACCGATGTGTCCTGCTTGGAAAGACTGGTGTTATGATTGCTGTAAACACAATGCTATACCAAATGCTTGAAGGGAATAAGATCCTGATTTTTTTTTTTTTAATTGACTTTGGTGATTGTATTAGCTTTCTTGACTCAATGGGATTTTTTCCACCATGACAAAGCAACCAAGTTCCTATTCCAGGAGGGCAGTTTAGGTTCAAACATACTCAGGAGAGGCAGTTTAAAACCACTGTCTTGGGGGTTTATGCAACTTTAGTAGTGATGTGGAACACACCCTGTGTTTTACCTGTGGAGTAGAGTTGCAGAAGTACATTTTCAGACTACTCAACTGAGGGGGGGGGGAATCCTTTTTCCTCCCCAGTTCATATTAAGGGGTGGCAAAGTGGGCACAGGGTACCCTAATAACAATAGGCTATGCTGGGTTTGGTAAATGTTGTGGTGGAAAATATACATTGATGTCTCTAAGTGATCTTACGGGTTAACAAGCCAGACTGGCATCTTTTTCCATCATTGTTCAACCAGTAATGGTTCTAAAAATGCTTTGTGTACCTGCATGGTCTTAGACCTTCTCTTAATGATTGTATCAACTTACAAACTCAGGTAGATAATTTGTTAAGCTCTTTTTGTAGAGCCTTACTGACTGAATGTTAAGTGTCTGTGTACTGATGTAGTTAAGTAACTTCCTTTTGAACTACCAGACTAGTTAAAAAAAAAGTCCTTTTATAGGTTTGTAGAGTACTTTTCAGACAATGTAGTAGTTTTTCCTTCAGAGGGAGAGATGTCTGTTTCTGGGTTTTGTTTTTAGTTTTTTTTTCCTAATATGACTAAGAAGTTTTTAACTAGTTTGTAAGGTTTGCGTAGTCACCTGAGTTGGTGGGGGTTTCTTATGTATGTGACTCTTGTTTGTACTGTGCATTACCTGTCATGCACTGCTTGGTTGCTGCACAGTTTGTTGCAGTAGTTGAGGGTGTTGAACACATGCCTGTGATTTAACTCAAATAGAAATTGGAAGCCTTGAACAAAGTAAAGCTCATCCATGTGAAAACAATGTAAAACATGCATTTTTCTCCCCTTATTTAATTGACTGTAGATGTATGGCCCCATCTTACAAAATTTTCACTGCTTATTTATAAGAAGCATTGCCTTGGTGCAGGATTGCACTGGAATCCAGGATGATTTTGTCAGTCCTTGGACGCTGGATGTCTTGAGTTGATTTGGTTTTGTGGTTTCCTCCTTTGTTGCAGTTGGATTTTTTTCTGCCTTAGTAGATTAATCATGCTGCTCTCCTAATAATAAAATATCTCAGGAGAACAGACAGTGCTCTGCTTTTAATGACCTTCTCAGAGCTTTTGTATCTAATTGAAAATGAGACAGGCTGTGGCAAGAACTGCTATGCTGCAAACAGGGCATCACATTTCCACTTGGACAAAAAGTGACATAATTTTTAGTTGACAGATGTTGAGTATTGCAGAAAAGAAAGCATGACAGGTTATGTGCAAACTTTTATGTAGAATAAGTGAGCAAACTGTTAGAACCCTTGTGTTAATGGAGGTTTCTGAATGTATCTTTGTGGTCCATAGGGAAGGCTGAAGGATGTAGCAAGGAGACAATGTATCAGCTACTGGCAGCCTTAAAACAAAGTCAGTGTCTCTCTGGACTTTAAAATGTTCCTATGCAGTTTATTTTATTTTTGTTTAATCAAATAAATGTGAGGGGGTTTTTCCATGGCAAATCTGTGTGTGTGTGTTTCAGTATTACCCAGACAAAGCCTTCTCTTCTGTCAGAATGCAAAAAAGAAAAGCCTCTGCCTAAATTTGAACCTGGCTATCTCCAGAATAGTGACTGCTGAAAACTTTAACCAGAAGCATCTGCTTTGAAAGGGGAGAGGAGGAAAAATACTGAAGTGGGATTACAAAAAAAAAAAAAAGAGGTGATGCAGTGTTAAAAACTCTTAGTTGTCTGTGCTATTAGAAAAAAATCGTCACTGTCATGACTGGAGAAAAGAGTTCTGATACTGAACTCACTGCCTGTAACTCCATGCATTTTTCATAGTATTTTGCCAGAAGGTTCCTGGTTTAACTTTGTTAGGTCCATTTCTAGGCTTCCATTTCTTCACCTTTGCAACTGTGAAGGAGTGCTGCTTCTGAGTGGCAGTGTAAATAAAGCAAAGCCCCCCGAACATTCAGTAGGTGTCTCTAGCACCTTGCGGGGCAGACTGCCATCACAAATTGGGTAAGGGGAAAAGGTGCCCTTTTCCTTTACTGAAATAGTGAGCAGAGGAAGATGCTCTTCAAATAAAGTTTGAGAATTAAGGCCACTGCTTGAATTCCCAGCACGGGCAGTAGTGGAGGTGGGTTCCAGGCTCTGAAAGTGCTGACTGCTTTAGTTCTTCAAAGCCGAGGTGCTTTCTGGCCCTGAACAACTGTAGGACTCTCAGCACTATGCTGGGCTCTATCTATCAAAATCCTTGACCAGACCATTGCTCACTCTTCCTGCTGGAGCAGCTGGCAACACATCAGCAGTACAGAGAACACATCAATTTGAAGGGAGGGAGGGAGAGGGAAGGACCTGTGAAGAAGAGGACAAAGGGCTGCCCAGGTGAGTTTGTCCAGCTTCATGTATTACTCTGTATTCCCTTGGCTCCTCTGTGCTCTCTGGAAACAGCTGGAACCTAGAAGCTCAATTGAACACTATGAGATAGCTCTGGGTGCTGCTAAACAAGGGCTGTCCAGTTCTTGCACCAGAGCCATGGGCTCAGCTAAAGGTTCTGACAAGGAAGTGGACAGCACTGCCCATGGCCCTGGTGCAAGAACTGTGCTGAGGCAGCAACAAGGCTTTTGGTGCTTGGTGGGGGGAAAGGGAGTGCAACCCCTTTCTCCTTCTGTGGGAATGTGAGCCAGTGCATGGCCACAAGGTAATGGGAGGAGAGGGGGAGAAAGGGACAGGCAACCTTCCCTTTAAGAAGTAGCCCAAACCAAAATTATATGCACTGTTGAGTTTACTAACTTAACACACACCTGAGCCTGTGCTGCTCCTGTTCTCCCCTGCTGCTATCCCAGGCTAGCTTGCAGTTTTACTTGATCTTCACTCTTTACTACCAGAGCCTAAAAGAAACAGAGAGAAGAGAAAGTGGACTGTGGCTCTATGGCAGTGCCAGAGAGGAAGCCAAGTCCTTGACTGCTCCCTCCTGAGCTGTGTTTTTACACTTATTTTTTTCCTCTCTGTTAATAGTAAAACTGAAAAGCTGAAAGCCATCATCTCCACTCATCCATCCGTGTCTTCAAGTCGCAACGCGGGTGGGGGGGGTGGGGGGGGAAGAAAAGTGCAGAGCTGCTGTGGTGACTGCAGCTGCCCTAGGGCAGAGGAGCAGGCGGTAGAGGGGAGAGCTGGGGTTGAAAAGGCTGTGGCTCACATATGCAAAATACGGCTGCAGTAAGATGCGTGTTATCTGGGGAACAACTGCATCCTTCACCCAGCCCGGAAGGGGGGGCAGGGGGGGAGCGCTGGATGGCTCCCGCCCGAGCTGGCCACTGCTGGAGCAAGGCATGAGCATCTTTTGCATGTGAATGCCCCGCATTCCTGGGGGGCGGGGAAGGGCAGGGAAGAATATTCTCTATTCAGGGCCTGGGACCACACAGGGAGCATCTTTAACCTTTTTTGTATTTCGTCAGTCAATCTACTTTGACTTGAGGGATGTATCAAGTCCCTTTCTTCCTTCTTTCAGAAAAGCGATTTCTACCTATTTTTTACTGATATTTTTTTTTAACTCCTACTCTTTCTAAACCGCTTGGCCCTAGCTGAGGACAGGGTGTGTGCCACCTCCTATAGTGATAGAAAAGTTACTGAAAGAGGCAGCTACTTGGTCGTTGCTCTGAAAGGCATGAAAAACAGGGAAGCCAGTTATCTAACAGGAGGGCTAGTAGCAGGTCCCAAGCTTGCTGATGTACTGCTTCCTGCAGGAGACACATCTGTGCTCATTCCACAACCTGCACATTGTTCAATACTCACTGTTCTGCTTCTGTCAGCTGTGGCTTGTTTCTTCAAGGGCACAAACCCAAGACTACCCTGCTGCCTTCCTCTGCTGCACACATCTGCACTGCCTCATGCTCGAGACTGAGTGCAGAACTTGCAGGCCTCATATCCCAGGTGCTGCTTGGAAAAGTGATTTTCTTGGTGGTGGCTGGAGGCAAAGTACAGTGCCAGCAGCACCAGGAGATAAGGTGTTAGCTCAGCTCTATCCTGGAGATTATCAGGGCAAAGGCTCAAATAGCTGGAACAGCACAAAACAGCCCAGGAGGGAATGTGAGGAGAGGTGCTAGGCTCCATGCTGGGCACCAATTATCTTATGCCTGCATTAAGTCCCAAGGCAGGGTGGCTCACTGCTTTGCCTATGCTTGCAATGAGTAACCAGGGAGTCCTTGATTATCTTACAAACTCTTGGTTTGAGTAAAAGGCAGATTTTTTTTTTCCTGAGAGGTATTCCTCTACAATGGAAACTGCATTTGAAAAAAAACCCACCACAACAAACCCAACCAGAAAACAAAATACCTTTTTCTTACAGCCAAGCACTTTTCCACTGTACCTGCACCATTACATCTTTCTTTTGGGCAAAGAAAACCAGGGAGAAGAAAACCAACAAAAAAAAAAAGCCAACAGGCCCCATCCAGCTAAAGTGCTACTGTTGCCCAGCACTGATAAATGCTTTGCAGGTGCTGATCCATTATTTTGGCAAACAGCCTTTTAGCTCTTGCCCCCTGTGTTGCTGCAGAGACAGGAGGAGCAGTCAGAGTCCCTCCAGTGTGAGAGGGAAGCACTGTTGAAGGGGCATTCACCTAACAGCACAGCCCCCCACCCAGGACACCCCCCCATCACACCAGTACACTCTCCCTCAGGCATCATCCACCCCCACAGCTGAAGAGGCAGCTTCATCAATGGCAGGGCCCCAACTCCCAGCTGCTGCAGGGTAGAGGAGTGTAGCTACATCGAGTTGGGCAAAGGCCTCTTTGAGGAATATCATGGCTCATAGATGTTAAAACACAGCAGCCAACACAACAGCTCAACTGGTCTTTCAAGAACTTTAGTTCAAGTAAATGATTTTCTCCTTCCAGTCACTTCCCTCCCCCCATTCTCTTCAAAAAGAGCTGAATTACACACTTGGTTAACCAATTCTTCTTGGTAAGTAAAGTGCCACTCCCATTCAAAGCAGATACCCATCTCTCATTGCTCATGAAATAACCTTTAAAAACAAGGGGTTTTGGTTATATGTTTTATTAAAAATTTACATAAACACACTCCAGCAATTGGGGTATTCAGGTGTCCTAGGTTAAAAAAATATACAAAATCCCAAGCCCTCATGGGCACAGCAGCAGCAAGTTGAAGAACAACCTCACTTCCTTTGAACAGTAGTGAAAGCTGGCATCTGAATGGGCTGGATTGAGTGGACTGGCTGGAAAACAGGCTTTTTCCGCATGTCAGAGAGTGTTTTCACAGAAGGGAGCAGCTGGTTCCTCTTGATGATCTGCAGTGCCAGCTGTGTGTTACCTACAAGACAAATTTGATTTAAAAAAACAAAATACCATTTTATGACTTATGAATTGCTGTTCTAGGGACAGAGCTGATGAGCCAGCCCTGAGCCCAGCCCACAGACTCCAGCAGTCTTCCTAGTCAGTGAAACACTGACATGGACATGAAAAGCATTAGAAAACAGTTAACTTGAAAAAAATACTTCTGCTTGAGTCATTCTTAGCTGAAGACATCAATTTTTTACCTCAGAGCTGGAAGATGCCAGAGCACCTTCTATATTCCTGAAGGGCACCTCCTCCCTCTCCCAGCTGTGTTGTTAGACTCTAGATCTCACACAAAATGCCCTCACATTGTGACATTGCAGACAGTAATGCAAATGTTGAGGGTGTATATAAAACATTTTTAAAACAAGAAATCTCATTTTCAACTGTATGCATGGCCCATCAAATAAACACCAACATAAATGGAAAACCTATTCTTTGTTAAAAATTAAACCTGTACAATTTAGGAGAAAAGATGCTGAGTTCTGAAGGAATATTTCTCCCTCTTACAAATACTTTTCTTTCACTGAAGTTTTAGTTTCAGAAGAGATTGTTGTCATTTATAGAACAAAAAATGTCTTCAGTCTTTTTTTGTTATATACTTAAAAGGGGGTGGGAGATGTAAATCCCACTTTCTACTCTCTTCTGCTCCATACATCTTTTTGCAGAAAGGTTTCCAAAATTCCAACTTAGAAATATCTTTGTAAGAACAGCTTTGCAAAAGTCTCAATTCTGAATGCAAATACTCGAGTCCTCTGCCTGCCTGCAATGCAAGACAACTGAAGCAGAACAGAACGTTTCACAACACTTGGATATCAAGTCCCAAGGGGCACAGATCTGCAACCATGACAGCTTCAATCAGCAGCTGCACCAGTCTGCTCACACTGCAGAATTCAGATGCAACCTTTCCAGTTTCCCATTATGTAGAGTTTTTCCCCCCATACAAACACAGTGAACCTTCAAAAGAAAGCATTTTGGAAGAGTGAGTTGTCAATATTACAAGCTTTGCTGCTATACTTGCTACACGGGCCTTGACATGGCTTCTTTGGGAAACTGGACTGTGGTTGTCTTTTAATGGAAAGCCTTTCAAATCCTTTTTATAGTATATACCTCATCAAGGGTTTTAATAGGCTATCCAATTCTGCACAAAGCATAGAAGACCTCAGGCAATGAATGTGGAGTGTGTAAGAACGGGATAGCAATAAACTGTGGAAATGAAGGTGTGGATATGTGGATCCATAGCAGTCTAAAATGGAGGCAGGGCCTAAAGGGTATAATTCAAAACACTGGCACATTTCTCTGTAGAGTAGGAATAATGACTACTGCCCTCTTCCCTTTGTATCCAAAATTTAGGTTGATAGAACATTTCCAGACTTACCATTCTGTAATTCCAGATATACAGCCAGCAGGATAGCTTCTGGAGGGATCTCTTTGGGGTGGATCAGCGAAGCAGCCTTATTGAAAAAGAAGAGGGTGGGGAGAAAAAGTGCTTAAGAGAAAGATCCAGCACAAAGAAAGTGTCCCTTGACAAGATTGCTACCACCATCTTAGGTAACAAAACCAAAGAAAATAATTCATTAACTAAGATCACATTTTTTCAAACTAATACACTCTATCAGGTTGAAGCATGCAAGGAGAGACCACAAGATTATCTGCACAGCAAGACTGTTTCACACTAATTAGCAAGACCATCTGCTGTGTGCATACAGATGCATTCCTATGCATCTGTAATTCTTGGGCCAGCCTACTGTGGTTTCTTGGTGAGATAACAGGTGAAAGAGGTAACCTCCACTACTCCAAAGCTCAGAATACAGTAACAAGGATCATTCATTAGCTTTCCAGATACAACTATTTTTCAGCTATGAAGTCAATGAATTTGTTATAGATGCAGAGACCTATATTTTACATCCACGGGTGGCCTTGCACTCCTTTGGGCTTTACACAGGTGCTACAGAGCCTGAGCACAGATACCTGCCTCATCATAAGAAGTCTCAGGAGGAAAAAGGGCTGGACAACTGCCTTAAGTAATTGAGAGCCTCACAGAATTCGAATCTGTTCACCTACACAACTAATGTGAAGTAATTCGGAAGACTGCTATTGCTGTGTGTAGCTCAACAATGCATCCGAATAGTCTTCCTGACAGACAGGAGTGGCTGCAGAAAGAGACAAACATCATCACTGAAAGAGGTGAGTCCCAGCCATGAGAAAGACCAAGTGACATGACACAGGCTAAGTGAAGACAGCATTTCAAAAGCAGTACTTGAAAATTCTTGAGACAAGAGGGAGACAAGGAACATACTTCTAGTGGAATTGCAGTTTATTCTCACAGCCCTAAAGATAGTATCTCTGATGGTGAGTTATTAACTAACTAGGGAGAAAACCGCCTCCAAAATATAATAATTACCATTGGACCATTAAAAAATCCACAAAAAAATCCAAACAAGCAAACTTAGAAAAAGTGAAAAGGCTTCCTAGTCATATTCCCCTATTTTGATATGACCTAAGGGGGGAAAAAGCTTCATATGATGGTGCTGAACTTTTTACACAAGTAAGAATTTTGGAATCCTGCATTTTATGTAACTAATAGGGACTGGTTCATAAAGATAGAAGAGAGTCACCACCTCAGCAAAGTCCACAAACAGACCTGGGCTACAAAATCACCAGAATTTGCTGTGATCTAAATGGCACTTTGAAGGAAGTACATTTGTCCCTAATGCTGCCTTGAGATTTGTTTTTCCTACCTGATGAAGACACTTTCGAGCTTTGTCATATTCACTTCTCAAACAGTAAGCACTTCCAAGGTTAAATAACATCATTGTTCGTGCAGACGTGACCGAACTGGGGTAGCACTGTGGGGTTTGCTTGCCAGCTGCAATAAAAAAAAAATTTTTCTTACACTTTTATTCCTACTGGCCAAGTAAATTCTTGTATTCTGCTGAATACAGTGGCTGGTACTTACAAGATTCCATTGCCTCATTCTCTCCTTTGTCAGACCCTGCAAAGAAAAAAAAAGAAAAACCAAACCACAAAAACCATCATGTTCTGTGAGCTTTTTTAAAGCTTATTACAAAAATAATACAAAGATACAAATTTGCTCCTCTCTTCACAGTCTAACATTAAAGAGGGAAAACATATCAATCTGCTCAAGAGTTTATGTCACTTAAGACTTCCTATCTTCAGTGCTGCAGTTTTAGATTTGCAGATGAGTACAGTGAAGTTTAAACTGCAGACATGTCACTGAAATCAGAGTTGTTGTAGACTTCATTATACAGATGGACTCTGAAGTATTTTTCTCTTAAAGAATACACACCCATCAAGAAAATTAAGATATAGATTAACTAAATTCTCCCCACTTCTCTCTCTCACTTAAGTAGATTTCACTGGTATTCCAAAGCCTGGTTTTGAGACTAAAAGGCTGGAAGAGACAGTATGAAGCCCAAACGTAACCATAACTGCACATTTCTTAAAAGCAGCTTTCTGAAGTGCCCTTCAAACAAGCTAGAATGCTACAATATACAGTTCTATTTACATTACAGAATTAACCACCTCATAAGAACAGGGAAAAGACACACCAAACACAAAGTAGGAACTAAAGCCAGGAAACTGCAAACTCACCAACAAAAACACAAACAACCCCCCACCCCGAACAACCTATGGTCTTAAAACAAAGTGTCTTAATCATCATGATATTTGTGTCTAGTAAGTTACAGCAGTAAGGCTGTTGAAAGCATAACCAGTTGTAATGAAGTGTGGATGCATTAACCTTGGTCCTGCTCATTTGAAGAGATCCCAAGGGAAACATCAGTGACATTCTCAGGATTCAAGTGAGTGATAGCATCAGATATTCTGTCTAGAGAGATGAGAGCTTCTGCTGCATACAAATGCCCGAGAAACCTACAACAGCAAAGGGTTAGGTACAAATATCAGCACAGCAATCCCCACAGTTTGTTATGCAAGACAAACTGAACGCAGTTTTTAACATGAGCACATGGAAACTATTACTTGAAACACTTGCATGGAAGTTAACTTGCTCATACAGTATTGTCATAATAACCCAGTTCTACCATTTACTGCTTTTAGGCACTAAAGCTGTAAAAAAAAAAAAAATCTGCACCTCAGTAAAGACAATCCATGCACAGGAATTGCCATTCCACAAAGAAAGTACCTTGGTATGGGTTTATCTCAGAGAATTAAAAAAAGCCACCCCAGAATACAGATATATCTATAATTTAAAGTGTTAAATGACTTCAGATTCAATTTAAAAAGCCTATTTTCCTGAGATCAAGACATATGGCTCTTTGTCTTTGCGAAAAAACTGTCATTTAGTATTTCTTGCATTACATAATGGTAACATAAAATTATGTGTTACCTTGCAAACTCCTCAAAAATCTTGCTTGTACAATGACTGTGCAAAAAGATGAGCTCCTGCAGTAGTCTGAAGCGCAGGAGCCAACGAATTTAATTGGCATGGACCATTTTAAAAGTATGCTGCCAGCATATAAAAATAAGCAAAAGTTACCTTGCCTTCTACAAGTACATAACCAGTTCTGAAAAATATTACTACCTTAAAACCCCTGCTATATTTTACCCTGTGTATGACATAGGTATTAAATGGACAAACAAGGTCAGAAGGATAGGGCTAAAGTTGCCTTTTTTGAATTTGTAGAGCTGTATGACAACTAGTGGGTAGAAACAGAATAAGCTTTGGATATCCTTCAAAAAATACAGTGCCAAGTGAGAGCTGAAGAAGAGAAACAGAAGAATGGAACCTATATAAGCAACGGTAGCAGGTGAAGCGACAGTCCTGCACACACAAGATCTGGTACCCAAGTGACTGAGCAAATCTTCCCCTCCAAGGCTGTAGTTTCATAGTGATCTTTCAACAGCATGCTGGTTTGGGCTGGTTTGCCAACTCCCAGCTGCACGTTCCTGCCCCTTGTGCTGTGCCAACACAAGCACGTGCAATCCCACAGTGAATCACGACAGAGACCTGATGGTCCTGCTGTGGCATAGGACCCAGAGCTGGAAAAATAGCAACAAAAGCAGCAATAGATTCTGAATTACATGGAATTCATACACAAAGAAGGGAATTCATGTTGCTGTGTGTCAATGGACATTCAGTCAGGGCTTCAACAAGAACAGGAGCAGGCCAAGCAATTCTTTGTATCAGATACAGAATTGGCAAGCAACTACAGACATTTGAAGCTTCAACTCAACTCTCCAGCAGAAAGAAGGGCTGAGAAAGAAGAAATTACCCCATCAGACTTACTTAAGAGACCCTGACAGCTTTGGTTGCTGAAGAAGTTTATCTGCGTGATTCAATGCCATAAGGTTATCCCCCAAAGCCAGAGCCACGTAAGCACTACATGCAAGTATTGAGCACCTGGAGGGAAACAGACAAAAAAAAAGAAAAAAAAAGGGAAGGGGAGAAAGACAATATGTTAAATGAAGAATTCTGTGATTCCAAAAGCAGCTGTTAAATTTTCTTTCTTGTTAAGTGCTGAAGAAATAAATCACAAACTTTCAATAATCATTTTAAGAGTTAGTGTTCATTACCTATGGGCTCAATTGTTCTACAGTATAAACCAAGGATCACCATGGTATGCTAAATAAGATTTTGCAGTTTTGATCATAAATATCAGATTAAAAAAAAGATGGGACTTCACCACGTGTCATATTTCTCATGGACAGTTTCCCTTTCTTATGCTCTTATTATTGTTTTGCCTTGGACTCTCATTTGTACTTCCCTGCCCTCACCTTCTGCTGCAGCAAAGGGTAGCAGATTTTTAGATGTCTGTAAGGCACAACCTACAGACACAGTAGCAATCAGTTAAGCTGTAACATATTTCACTCATCTATTGTACAGTGTCTTCACAGAGGGAGACACTAAACACTGGAGAATTTGGTGTTTCCAGTTTTGTGTTCAACTGAGACCTGTAACCCGGTGCCAAGATTCTGATTGATCCATGCCATTTGTTGCTGTCACAGACTTTTTTGTCTTTCCAAAACCACAAAATCGCTGCCAGTTTCTGTAACAAAATCTGAACTACTCACATTTTCCACCTTCAAACAATAACCCAACGTCAGGATGCGATCATTAGGCCAAGCTTCACACGTTGTAATAACTCCCCCCCTTCCCAAACACAGCACTTGGGAATATTTTCCACTTGGTAAAACATCATTCAGTGCAGCCTGCCTTGTCCTCAGGGCACAAGCCTCTGTCCACAACACCCTGCTGTGAGCAGGACTCTGTTCTTCTCCAGGGAGAACAAGTGGATCCTCTGAGTGGGGTCTCACGTTGGGAGCGATGGGAGGAGAGCCTTTGCCTCTCCCGCTGGTAGGCGGGCTATTATTATGCCAACCTTCTGGCAACTGTCAAGCCCACTTTCGGTCCAGCAGTAAGTCATGTAATTCGTGGCAGGACCTGGGGTGTCTTTATTCCCCTTTCCCAGGAGGCATGCTCCTTAATTATGCACAAGCAGGATAAGAAACTTCTCCAGTGTTTCTCCCTACCCCCCACTTCCTCTCCACTGTGCCCAGATGTCACATCAAATCTGAACACACACAAAAGCTTGAGAGAGGGAGAGGAAAGCTTCCCCAGCTCAAGTCCCAAACCTAAAATATTTCTGAAAGGCTGTGACTGGGGAAGGGGGATGGAACTGGGAAACAAAATCTCTGTAATAACAGCCTGCTTCTAACTAGCCTCTTTTTGTCTCTGCCTCAAGGAAGCACAGTGCAAATCAGCAGAGATGCTGAGTGTCACCAGCAAAATACTCTTAGACAAGTCAGGCCCTGCAGAGTGGGTTGCTACTGCCCTTTACATCAATGTGTTTTATATTTCCCACAACTTTGTTAAAGCCTATTTTTATTTCTGAAAGTGTAAATTCAATCACAAGACATGCTCCAATCACACCATAGGCAAGTCCAGCAAAACTGAAACCTACTCCTCTGCTCTAAGGACTCATCACTGTTAAAGTTACGTAAGAGCTGGCAAAATTCTTCAGCAACAGCCATCTGAAGAGGGAAATATCCAGGTTTTCTTCCCTGCAGTAATGTTCCTGCACACTTGGATCCATTGTTGAGTTGGCTGAACCAAATGCTCAGGAGAGCTGACAGCTAACCGGAGCAGAAGAATTGCACCACAAGGGAAAAGACAAACTAGTTTTTCACCCCGGTCAGGATTCTGACAGAACTCCACAGGTCGCCTTTGAGCACGGCAGACTTCCAGCATCACTGAGCCTCCGCATGCCCTAAATAAAACTGCCTTTGCAGTAGGAAAAAGAAAAATGTTTTTTTAAACTGCCAGATTATGTCAAACAGCCTCTTGTGTAGGTCTAGGCAACAAGATTTGTCAGCCCACACAGACTGCAAGTTTATGGAACCTGAACTCCACATCTGACTTGCCTTATTTCTCAGGAAAAGGGTGAGCCAGAGCCAATCTAGTTCTTCAAAACTTACCAAAAATGACACTTATAAACCATTTGAGAACATCACTAACCTGAAGTAATTTCAAATACCTAACTAAGCACAACAGTGGATACAAACTATCTACTTTTTATGTTTCAACACAAGCAAACAATAGAAAATGCTAAGAAATACAGAATGCAGACTGTGCTTAGTCAATGGGGAAACTCAGCACCAGCAAAGGGGAGATAGGGAAGAACTACAGTGTCTGAGTGAGGAAGAAAAGTGTGAAACAGCTACAGGTGATGATCATTGTAAGCCTTCAGTATTGTGACAGGGCCAAACAGACCACTGCAACCTTTAAACAGAGAAATAAGGTGAAACTGGGAAGGTATGGAGAAGAGATAATGCATACTGATTGGCAGTGGTAGTTCTTACAAACTTACCTGTGAAGTTATTAGCAATGTCAGTGATGCTCTTGGAATACCATATACAATACTAGGTATATATGCTTGAAAAATATAAGTAGGCAAATGAAATAAATAAAGGATAATGATGGACTTGAAACGGCCAATGGAAGAGTCAAAGAGAAGGAAAAAAGGGTCAAATTGGATCACATGCCTTATAGCAAGGGCTTACAGATCAAATCTATTCAAGACAAAGTGGGTGATCAAATGATTCCTTTATTTCCAGCTGCTTTGAAGGGTAAATTTAACGGTCTCACACAAAGACCTTCAATCTAGGGAGAAAGAGATTACAAGAAGTCTGTTGCTATCCACCTTAACTTTTATAATAAAATCCAAAAAATTTTCCAAATGTAGCACTGTGGTCTACCAGAACTCCTTTACTCTCAAAGTACCCTAACAGTGTTGGGTTCTTCTGGTGTGCTGGAACATACACAGGCTGAGAGCAGACCAGGGAGTTGGCTTCTTGGAGGATGAGAAGTAGCAAGGAGGAGAATTGTTTAGAAGAAACTCAGAGGAAAAATCTGGAGTTTCTACTTTGAATGCATACATTCTTAGCAATGTTTGGTGTACTCAGACTTCCGCTTGTTACTTTTAAAACCCTGCAATTGAATTACTGCTTATTATGAGAACAGTCCACTCAATGAATTCAGGCACAAGTACCAAACAACACATATGACATGTAAACTTTTTCTAGATGATATTTTTAATTTTTTAAGAACTGTTCAGGGGTAAAGTTAACTCAGTCATTTTGAACTCTTACCAGGATGCACAACTGCACAAAATCATGAAAAAAGGGCACTTAAGTTGCCCATTTCAGTTCTAGAAGCAATAGAGGTTTCTCAGTCCAGTGACTTAAGAGGGAAAAACTGAATTCAACAGACACTCATTCCTTAGGATAATCCTTGACAATATCCAGAATTTTTTTCTTAATTTTCCCTGACTCGACAAGAATTTAAATTTTCTCACTTAGCTCCTTAGTGAGCAAGACTACAGGAACACTCTAACTATATACAATATATACACACAAGTCTACTATTTGAGTGTAACATATTTTGCTTTTCACAACTATCTTCAGAAATTTAGAAATAGTTTCAGCAGAATCACTTTCTAGGGATGTCAACTCCTCAAAATTAAACCAAAGCAAGTAGCGCAAAAAAATAAATCAATGCTTTTCCTTTCCTTATATGATGTTCTTGCATCAAGAAGTGTACTTCTTGCTAAACTGATAGGTTTTTTCTGATATGTTGTCAGACTTCATCAGTAGATAACAAAAGCTGAGTGTGAAAGAAAAGACTACGTATTAAAAAAAAAAATAATCACAAAGTGACACCACGTAATTTTGACACATGGCAGCCACATTTTCAACAGTCAGGAGGAGAAAAAAAAACAAAAACAAAAAACCCACAAAACCCACGACCAACCCACATCACTGTTTTTTTAATCTAGCGCTTTCTATTTCGGGTAGCACACTTGCACCACTTCAGAATAAATAATCAAGGTCTCAGTAGCATCTCCTCACAGATTCCTTCTAAAGTGCTTTTAAGTGAATACAAGTAGATTTGCTACACATAGGGAGCAAAGTAAAGGTTAAGCTGGTCATTATGAAATACAAGTTACCTGGAGCTAGGCTGGAACAGAGTGTTTGCTCAAGAGTTCAAGTGGGAAATTACTGTATGAAAACCAGTATACAGAAACTTAAAACAGATTTCTTTTTTCTTAACAGGTGCAAGCGCTATCGTAAGAGATTTTCAATGGGCTGGCAGCCACCTGGAATAATTAACATTGCCAGCAAATTATAATCTTGTTGTGGACAAGTAAAGAGGTTCCAGATAATGTCATGCTTATTTAGACACATGCAAGTTACTGTTTGGAGAACACTATGACTGCTGAAAAAGTAGTCTGAGGATCTTTGAGAACATGAAAAAATCTACAGTCAAATTTTACCAGTGTTGTTCCATGGTAAGAAAGTCAAATGCTGGGATAGAGGCATTTTTGTTTTCTATTTTATGCAAACTGCTGAAAGGAACACCATTCTCATTGGTTAAAGTAGCTATGCCGCTTTCCACGGGGAATGAATTCCAAACTAGCCTTATCATAGCTTGAAAGGGAAAAGGTACCATACAATACTTTCCATCCCCTTCCACCAATGACATTGTCAGGGTTTTAGTTTTGTTGTTTATGGAACTCGATATTAGTTTTGCCCAATATATAGCACCGAACTTCCAATAGTGGGATCAAGCAGATTTATCTACCTCCTAAATTGAAAATCTGGATGGCTTCTACTTGTTTAGACTCAAAGCCCAGAAGAAAGGAAGCACACACATTTGAAAAGAGATTAAGCTAACAGCTACAATTCAACGTGTCAAGTGCCTACAAAAAAAGCTGGGAATCACAGTTTAGGAGGAGGCTCATTTAGTGGTGAATATTTTATATTATTTACTTGCCTTAAATTCTCTAATTCCTGTTTCTTCAAAGGCGAAGAAGGAGGAGCTGCAATGAATTTATCCCCTTCATGACTTTTATTGCTAGAATAAAAACAGTGTATTAATGATAATGAATGACTTATTATAGTAATTAATTAAAAAATTCTCAGTGTAAAAAGCATTGGTATTTATTCACTCCATTTAAAAGGACACAAATTCTGCAGCCTAAAATACAGGGAATTGAGGCAATGCAGAGACTGAGGTATGTGCTCTTATTCTAACCATTCTATTTGAGAAGGAAGAAGTGGGACATTTGCTAGAAAGGATTTGACTGACAGACCAAACAACCCACACCATTCTCCACAGCCTTGAGCTATTTTTGAAGTTCAGTGTAGGATATGCATTTTTAACTGGAGGGACACAGAATTCACTGCATTTGTAGCCTCTTCTTTCAGACTGGAAGAAAAGCAGTAAACTAGTTCTCTCTCTAGACATCTAAAAACTAGTTACATAAATATTCTAGAAAGATAACCCACAAAGTGCTACATCTTTCTTTAGACTCCTAGCTCCCTCTATTTTTATTTCAAAATGTCTTTTTTAAAAAATAAAATTCCACTGTCTTAAAATTATGTTTGGCTTTTCTGGGGGAGCACATATTCATTCTATTTTAAGGGTATGAAACTTCACTTTCCAATAAGCTGAAAGAACCTCCTGGAATGAGAACTGAAGAGATGGATAATAGCTGTACCTTGGCAGAGAGAGACACTAAGGTTTGGAAACTGATTAAAAAAAAATTCAGATTTGAAACTGAGTCTATCTACTTAATGAGAACTTTTTCATTGATGAGTTTTATATATGTCTATTGCAAACAGGTAAGATAACACCAACTTAGACTTTCAAACCAGATAGCAAAAAAACTCCAAGGAAATCTATACTCAATACTGCTGTAGAGTATACACTTAATGCCTTTGGCAAAAATTAGATTAAAAAAATACCCTTAACCACTAAAAGTATTCACTGTTTTCTTGTGAATAAGAATTTGCCTTAAGAGTCGGCCTGCTCAATTAGTGGGATTTGCTTCAAAACCATCCTGTTCAATTAGTGTGATTTTCTTCAAATGCCTTATATGTTTTACTGTTCTCTCACAGAGCTTCCCTTGTCAGAAGAAACAAATCCTTAGAGAACCTTTCAGAATGTGACACACAAATTCAAGAACAGCCTCCTTTGTTGTGGATATTTTGCAATTGGCAGTGACCGCTGGGAGATATGAGGGAGTCCTTTCTTTAACTTTTTTTCAGTTGAAGAAGCATCTGGTTTTGAAAACAGAAGGTAGTAAAGGATCTTCCCATACAAGACATGTTTTCCTTTTTTCACTCCTACAAAAATAAACAAAAACCACCCCAACAAAAAACAAAAAAGGGAGTTTGTCTGAATGAGGGCCACCATTTTGTTTTCATCACTGCTCCTTAGTGAGCCCCATAAGCTTAAAACTGAAGTCACAGTTAAACAAGAGAAGCTTCCTCTCAATAGGCTGCATACATACTTGCCAGGGGAAGTTAGTTCACAACCTCCAACCTCAGCAAGGAAAAAATAAAAAACAAAAAACACCACAAAAAACCCCACAAACCCACCCACCCAACCAACCAACCAAAGAAAAACCACCAAAAAATATAAAAAAAACCCAAAAACCCGAAACCAACAACCAAAAAAAAATCCACAAAACCCCAAACCAAAAAAAAATCCACAAAACCCCAAACCAAACAAAACCCAAAACCCCCCACAACAACAACAGACCACAATCCCACCCAGACTTTCATAAATCATTGGTCACTTTAAAAGATAAACTGTAAGTGGGAAAATAAAGGGTTATGGAGAATAGCTTTCAAATACTGTTGTAGCAGTAACAGCCACTGACCCCCAGCCGTACTCTATGCCCAGGCAACTTCTGAATATATAAGGATGCACTTTGTGCCTATGCAATACAGCATGTGTGCAGTAAATCCTGCCATGTGACAAATGGATTTTAACTTCTTAAAATTTATCTGTACTTGGGTCTGACAAAAACATTTTGTTTTTTCATTACTCTCTAAGTAGTTCAAGTTCTAACACACTTTCCAGATTAATTATTGTAACACTTTCCCTTTCAAAATAGTCTGTAATGAAAGTGCAGACTATGCTCAAAGCTACTTTTCAAAAGCAAGTCCAGAAGGCATCAGGACTGATGCAAGAAATCAAGACATTTTCCTTTGACATACACTGTCTACAAGTTATATTTTCTGAAACTAAGGACAGAAAAAGGTTTTTCTTAAACTCTTTTTTTGTAAAATATGATTTATTAAGCAATAGCTCCATGCTGCTTTCCTTCTTACCTTGTAAATCTCATTTCCCATTTTTAGTCTAAAACAAACACAACAAAGCATACTAGGGCTGATGAATGTCAAATCTGATCACGGGGAAATGTTTACAACTGAGCTGCTCGACATTTATATATATATATTGAATCAAGTACATGGTGCACGTGCACACGCACACTAAATCACTGTAACATGTGAAACTTCACTTACAATTAGAGAAATACCAATATGCACAGCGGGAGGGTGTGGGAAAACATAACATTTGCAGCACAGAAAAAAAGATGGTCAGTGAAAAAAATAATTTCACTGTCTAATTTAATAAAGTTGTTAGGAATAGCAGGAATCAACTCAGTATTTTATTCTTAAACTAGCATACCAGCAATTGAACAATGAGCAGCTAAACAATTTCCTTGGAGAGGCCAACACTGCTAAGACAATTTACAAATATGTTATTTTTTTCTGCTAGCCAAAGAGGATAAGTAGCAGACATAGACTGTCAGCCCAGAGTTACTCTGGACAAAAAAAAAAAAAAAAGGTTTATATCCAATTCTGTTTACCTGCATGCTTCACTGCTTTCACTGTTTTCTGCATTTCCCCCCAGTTGACTAGTAGTTTTAGATCCATTTTCCTGCTTTGGCTCCTGTTGATCTTCTGGCAGTAGCAGCAAGGCATTTCTTAGACAAATTGCTGCAAACTCCATACTGGCTACAGGTATTGCTGAGGACTGCCCATCACTTAAAGAGACACAGAAGTTTTAACCAGTAAGTAGCAATCCTACTAAATTAAAAGATAAAAGCAAAGCTCTGGAAATACCTGAATGCAGAGAAAACTTTATCCTAAAAATGTTAAATAATGTTTTAATATAACAAATTTAACTTATGAGGATGTATGTATCTTGCTATTTTTACATACTGAAAGCACAACACAATGCCCAAATAGATTCAACTATGTAATTCTAAGAAGTTCTCTTGTTTTCCCTGATTTCACTTCCTGAAGTTTTATGGCAGAACAACTAGATTCTTCCTGCACTTTTGTAAAGTGGATTACTAAAAATAAAGATTTAAGTGAGAAAAAGAGGCCAGATTTAGTAAGCAGGAAATATAAATTTCAGATAATCAATTTCAAGCTTTAATGCTCCTCTTAGTTACAAGGAATACACAGTTAAGCCCTCTGCTGGCCATCACAGAGGAGGCACAAAATGATGCTTAAGTAGGGACTCACAATGCATTTTAGCACGCCTCTCTCCTCACTACATGAATGAACAGTTATTCCACAACACTTTTAAAACCTCTGATAAACAGATACATATCAAAGCTATAATAACAAAATAAATAACCCACGGAAAACATACTTACTTGTAAACAACATTCTGTATGGACTGGGATGCTAGGACTATCTTACGGTGGTAGCCTTGACCCACTATAGATTGCACAATACCCTTTTTGCTGGGAAGACCTTTAGTCTCTTGCTCCGATGTCTAAAAGGAGAAAGGAAAATGAACTAAAATATCAAGGCTGTTGAATGAGAGGTTGACAAATAAGTGAAAGCTAGAAGACCTTGAACCCTGCTAAAATGTAAGAATTAATAATGGGTACAGTTTTAAATCTTAAGTACAATGAAGGATCAAGCATCTTCTATTGTCTTTGTGTTGCAGAGGGGTTTTACTGCACACAGCGTAAGCACAGATTAGTTCTGACAGCTTGTCTGATAGCCTACTGACCTAGTTTCTCCTCTGTTTTGAAAGCACAAAAACAATGAACCAAGTCGTATTAAAAGAACTGACAGGATATCTAAAAAGAAATAATATGATCTGCCAAATAATATTCAGAATTGACACTGCAACGCTTGCCATCTTCTCTCCCTGCTTACACAGCATTCAAAACGCTCTCCGAAAAAGCTGATCTCAAACAGTTCCATGAGGAGCACGAAGCTGAACAACAACACATGCAAAGATACATTAAATTAACTGGTTTAACAGATTTTTGAGTATGTAGACATTCTGGGGGTCAAATGAACTTAAAACACTCTGTCAGTCCCAAGAATTATCTCTACACCATATTTACTGGGGTTTGTTTGGTTGCTTTAGGATGAGCCATCTTAACTTCACTGGTAAGCAGAATCAGTGATGAAGAGTCACAGTTGTAAGGAAAAACTTATGCTAAATCTGCAATTTAAACAGCTATCACTTTTCAGAAAATTTATCAGAATCTATTGTGAAAAAGAATATTGAAACAATGGCATTTGATGTCAAATAAAAATACAATGAGTTTGGATATAAAGCGCATATTTCAAAAAAGATGTTTAAAATGCAGGCATTTAAGAGGGAATATTCTTCCATCCATGTTTTATAAACAAAAATATTAAAGTGGGTAAAACTAGCTTCAGTGAAATTACTTTTCTATATGGTATTCAGAGCATAAATATGAATCCACACATATATTGCAAGAAATATTATTGCAAATTGAGTTACAAGGTCAAATTAAGCACAGTATTGACTTTAGAGATTCACTTGTCATGTTACAAATCTAATTTATAATTTAAAGACACTTCCTCATTGCCTATAATATTAACAGCATCCAAAGTTAATTTTTTTCTTCTGAGATCATGCATTTAGGAAACAACCAGTTGGTTTTGTGACATGAATTCAAGGCTCTCTGGTACACCACACAAGATCATCACTGTAGCAGGAAGAAAGCCTCAGGAGCCTGGCGTAATCAGCTGCTTTGGCTACTCTGCAGTAAACAGAGAAGTGCTCCATAATGATCTGTATTTCCCTTTTCCAGACTGCTAAACACTATCCTTGTGAAAGGAATCCTAGCACTGCTTTTTTTTGCCACAAAACCTAAGCTAATCCGCTCTTTCATACTCAGCTTTTCACTAGAGATGATCACATGTGTCTTCTTTATCTATGTGTGACCTGTAGCCAGTAGGACAGACGCAGAAAACTGCAAAATGAGCATGAAGAAAGCTGTTCTTCCTGCATTCTCTGTGCTTTATAAAACTTGAGCAATCTGATTACAGCTAGCACATATACAATCAAAGTTAACCCATTTTTGACCCCACACTCTTGAATCTTCAGTGCCGTGTCTATGAAATGGGGGTATAAGCAAATCTCTATCAAGCTATAAAGTTATATCTTTCCTAAATTTTCTGAAATAGAGATACCAAAATAATGAGTACCTTTGAATTTCCCAAGAGAAGAGTTACAAATTTTGTATTTGGAAGGATTTTAATAATGTGCTGTAAATAAATGCACAGAGACCACCCAGAGAAGGAAAACAGAATTCAGGGGTGGGGGGAAAATAGAGTGATAAAGGTATTTGTTCAAGTTAGGTATTTGTTCAATTAATCCCACACATCCTGTGCAGTGAGTGAAATGGGCACACTGTGGAAATAACTGCATAGGATCATGCAATCACAGATTACAACCTCACTCCCCCACACATAAGGGGTGAATTACAGTTTCACAGGGAATCAATTTCACAGACATATTATTTTAGTGCAGTTTTCTCTTCTAAGAGCAAACAATCCTGTCCCCACTTCTCTGAATTTTAACATATGGGTTTATCCTAAACAGACTTGAAACCAAGATGCCCCAGAGGACACGCAATACGCTGCCATCAGCAGGTTTCCACCAACTTTGCCTGCAGAAGAAGGTGAAGTCTCAGCAGTTAAGACATTCAGTTCCCCATCAGCTGTGATCACAAGAGCTTCAGGATGGAGAAGGCTGATCACTGTTCCCTAAGACTATGCCACTTTCAGGCTACCCACAGCACAGTCTCACCCCTCTCAAATCTCTAGTGGCAAATGAGTGAGGAAACGTTGAAACTTTAGATGAGCTTTGGCTGCATGAAGAGAAGATCACATGCAAAGATTTCCCTCCACCTGTTGCAGCTTCAGATTAAACATGCAAAATACATATGCACAAAAAATAATAATTCTGGACTTACACAGAGGTGTTGCAATATTAGGCCTTTAAAATGCATAGCTTAACTCTAGGTATCAATTCTACCCATGACCACATGTCATTTTTTTAAAAGAAGTTTGCAAAGCTACTTACCCCTTTATTGGCAGCAATGCAGCATTCTGCTATTCTCAGCCACAGACGAGGGTTTGAGTGATATACCTGGACTGCCTCAATCAGGCACTCAAAGGCAGCTAAGGGCCTCCCAATATGCAAGAGCTGAATTCCGCAATTATAGAGCAACTCATACCGTTTGTTAGTCAGTAGTGTACACATGGGTCTCCCTGAAAATTTTTTACCTGCAGAAAAGGATTACATCATATTGGATGTGCAACTCAGGAGAGCAGAAAACATAACTCCAAGAGGAAGAGGGAAGCTGTGGGAAACACCCCAAAACTACCAAAAACCCCTTTCATTGCAGAAATTCACTAGGCTCCCTCTGTAAACAAATTTCTTTCACATCACAAGTGGTGTCAAAGATAAATTAATTGTATCGTTAATAAAGACTGAAGTACATTAAATGCTAACCACGAATGTTCCTTGTCACTCAAGATAAATGTTACACAATAATACTGAATCCCAGATATGTGAGAATACACATCTTTGTTACTCATAGAAATTCCAGAAGAAAACCACTTTGCTGCTAACAAGCATGAAACGTTTTCTTGTCTTCACACTGATACCTAAGGTTGCACTTAGGTCCAGGGGAGGAACAGGAAAAACAATGAAATGCATGATAGTAAGCAGATTTTAAAGAAAACAAGAAATAAAAAAAGTTATAACTTGATCGTGAAATGATGAAGACTGAGTGATGAGGCCCTCTATAGTCAGACAGGAGCGGCCTCACATTCACAGGCCCTCGTTCTGCTATCCGTTGAAGGGACAACACAGCCGGGCATGAACTGGTGGACTGTGAAGATGATCAGAGGGCTGGAGCACCTCTCCTACGAGACAGGATGAGAGAGCTGGGGTTGTTCAGCCTGGGGAAAAGAAGGCTGTGGGAAGACCCTTCAGTACCTAAAAGGGGCTTCAAGAAAGCTTGAGAGAGACTTTTTACAATGGCATGGAATGATAGGACAAGGGGGAATGCCTTTAAACTGACAAGAGGGTAGGTTTAGATTAGATATTAAGAAGAAATTCTTTACTGTGAGAGTGGTGAAACACTGTAACAGGTTGCTCAGAGAAGCTGTGGATGTCCCATCTTTGGAAGTGCTCAAGGCCAGGTTGGATGGAGTTTTGAGCAACCTGGTCTAGTGGAGGGTATCCCTGCCCATGGCAGGGAGGTTGGAACTACATGTTCTTTAAGGTACCTTTCAACCCAAACCATTTTATGATTTTATGAAATCATTTACTTGGAAAAAAAAAAACAACCAAACTAAAGTATTATTAAGCAAAGCAAGAAAACTTATTATGTTTATTTTCTTGCTTTTGTATCCTTACAACAAAAGTTGATGGATAAAAGTACCCATAAAACTAAACAATAGATAAACATGTCTCATACAAGTAGGAAATTGTTCAGTAGGAAAGTCTGAGAAACACATCATCTTCCAAATGCTAATTTAACAGTATTATACTCCACATTTTCTATATCTTCCATGTTAAAAAAAACCCAAACAACAAAACACAACAAAACCCCACTCATCCTTCATGCCCTGATGATTCTACCCAGTCAGCAGGACTACAAATAACCTATACAAAATATGTCACAAAAACTTTATTTTGTAATTCCTCCCTAACTTATTGTCAAAGTCTATAAATGAGGGACATAGTTGTCCCAGCCCCTCCAAGGTATATCAAGGAAAACAGGAAAAACAAATCACCATCGTCATCATGTATTTCTGGAAATAGCAACTATATTCTGAAATCAAGTTATCATCAAAATTCTCACCCTACTGTCTTCCACAAAGAGATGGAACACAAATTTTGCTGATAACTACTGAAACCTTCTACCCTCTATTTTCTTGATTCACCCACCCCTCTTCCACCACTTATTATAATCTCTTCCTTACCTGGATCTGAGTTGCCTGTTCCCAGCTGTGCACACGCATTATCATTTTCTTGCAAGGCTTTTTTAAAGTAAAAAATTCCTAAATTGTGCTTTCCCATTGCAAAGTGGATGCAGCCAAGATTGTTCCAGAACATACACCTTAGGCATTCACCTGGGAGAACAAGCAAAGACCGTTTCCAGAAACTGAAAATTGTTGGTGAGCCCATGAAACGCTCCAACCACTCTCTCACGGGTCAGCATATTATGGCAGTCTATTAAACATGTTCTTCAGTGAGATGCTCATGGATTAAGGAATTACGTCCCAGTGTCACATCAGCTTTAATAACATACATTTCTGCACACCATTCTAGTTCTCTTGGAGAGTTGACCTATATGTAGGCAGTCACAGACTTCCAGATCTTGTGCACCATATTCTAGGAGAGCCAGATATAAAGCCAGTTTGACAGACTGCAAGTTGAAGTGAATTCACCTGGAGGTTTCCACAGAAATTAGCAAGCAAGCACCTCAAGTTTTCTAACAGATGACTCTTGTAAAAGCAAAATTCTCAAGTAACATTACCTGCCTAAGTTTTATAAAATAAACAAATAAGCCAAGCCAACCACATAAGCAGGAAATACACTCTTTCTAAATATATCACGTTCAGGTAACACTGTAAAAGGTTCCTTCTAAATAATAAAGGACAAAACTTATTTGCTGGTAACAATCTTTGAAGGGTTACCATTGATAATAAAGAAATAAAGAAAAAAACTCACCCTAAAAATCCAAATAACCAAGAAACAGATCATTAACAAATTCAACAGATGTTATTTTAGCCAAAACATAGGAAGACTATTAAGTGAACATTCTACTGTGCAAATAGGCATTATGGCAAATTTTTTTAATGTTTTCTATGAAACTTATCTGTAAAATACAGAAGTTTAAACAATTTACTAAGAGGGTCAACTCAAACTTCTGTCATCTAACAGTAATTTAGGCAGCAATACCTACTAGGTAAAAAAAGTCCTACAGGACAAGAAATTAGTAGTACTATCACAAAAACAGCATTGAACAAAGTAGCAAAGAAATTCAGTTAGTTTTACAGCACAAGCACTTTTTTAAATCCTAGCTCTTTACTGACCCAAGACAGTTTTCTCTCTGTATTTTTCAACTGAAGTTTTAAACTGTCAATTAAATCTCAAATAAATTTAAGTACTGTATACAGTGAGTGTATATATACAGAGGATATACTTATAGTATACAAATAACTTTTATGTCCAAAAAATTACATGTTTACATGCTGTTCTGTTTCTGAGCACATCCACATATACTTTCTAGAGATAAAAGTAATTTAAAATCACATACAATAGAAGCCAAACTTTAACACTTCATGAAACATTTCCCCCACAATCATCATTACAACTGCTACAGTCTCCTCTCCAAGTACAATCTGAGATCTCAAATTCTAGATCTAGTAAGTTGCCTTTTGTTTCATTTCTTGATTTAAAGACTCAGTTATGAGCCTTGCAAATATTACACCTTCACAAATCCATTTTCATAGACAATCACAGCATTGTCTACAAGAACATTCACTGAAAAACACCACAGTGTTAAAAACATATCCAGCATATAAACTCATGACATTCAGGGCCTTCTCAATTAAGTAATCTATTAATGATTGAATTCAATATCAACAAGTAGTCCTATTATACTACACATTTAAGTATTTGCAGGATGAAGGGTTTCTATTTTACCTGTTTTCATGAAGCCTGGATGTTCAGCAATGTTTGCACTGTTTAAAAGTTTGACAGCTTTACGGTAATTGCCTCTCAAATATTCAAAATTGCTCTTAAGAAAAAGAGAAGGAGCTGACTGTGAAGGAGAAAACAACAGTTAGTCCTCTTTTGGTTTATGGTTCCTACCGCTAGTGTTAAATCACTTCACAAACAGCTTGCCTCTGCTGCCATTTTAAAAATAAATGGGCTTAGGCCCAATTACTTTCAAGAAGTAGCATTTCTTTGTTGAACACATGATTAACAGTCACCTCCAAATTACCAAACTACGTATACTCTCTATGACTGCTCTCAAACCCACTGTTATTCTAGAGAACTCTGTTATGGCAGTGGCTAAGTGCAGAGGATCTCCAAACTTTCTTCCACCTGTATTCTAGTACATTCCTCCCCACACTTCCCTCCCTGCAATTACTCCTGGACTGTAATCTTCCTGGTCTGCCAACAGAGACCTCATGATCCAGAAGGATTTCTGTTAAACTAGCAGCTGTTGAAATGGGCAACAAAAGGGAAGTGCTTTCTGTGTATGCCAGAATTAATCTTCTATGAACTGGTTTAAATCACCAATGACAAAGTTTGTAATAACCATAACATCTGTAGTAAACTAAAACCTGTTTTGTGCTGTTTCAGTTAAAAAGCAAGCTGAACCTGTTCATTATACACTGTTTCACTGTTATTTTTGTATCGCAAACAACACAGGACATTTTTTAGCAACTGAAAACAGCTCAAATAAGAAAATTCTACATTAATTACACTTGTAAAAAGAGATTACAAACCAAAATCACTACATAAAGCATTGCTTCAGACATCTACCCTCAATAAGACCTTTTTTTGGTAAAGAACATGAGCAAATTCAGTTTTAAGATAGAGAACAGATCTAGATGTGAAAAACAATAGCCTTAAGAATACTTACATTCCCAGCTGTATTCATAACAGACTTGATCTCCCTTTTGCATGCTTTTAGTGACTTCATTTGGATATAGGCTCTCACCTTATACTGTTAAAAAATGAAATTTGTTAAATAATATACAATAACTTGTGCAGTTTGCAAGATGACCTGTATCTAGGGATTTACTATGGAATATTTTATATACAATTTTGGGTAGTAAAAAGCTGTTCAAAAAGCCTTCATAAAAAAGAAATTCTATTCAGACTTTAAACAACACATTTATAGGCCTTGTATTTACAATAAGCAGACAAACATTTTGTTCACTGCTCAACAGCTACTCTATATTCAAACACAGATACTAGCACTTAAAATGACAAACTAATTAAAATAATCTAACCTCTTAATCTCCAGACATTTATCTACTAAACTGAAAGTACCAGTAAGTGAATGCTGATAGAGAAGCATTCTGTTTCTTCATGTTTTTCAACAGAACAGTACAATGAAATAAAATGTCAGCTGATTTAGACTGTTGGAGGTCTAACAGATACAAAATCAGTGCAGCCAACCGCAGTTTAAAGAAATTTTCATAAACTGCAGGGACTGAAATGGGGGAAGGGGTTGTGTGTTAGGCCAGTTTTTCCTGTACATGGATCTTACAAAACAGAAGAGTTAGATAAATTCATTCCTTTGTTTTACAACAAGGATAGACGGGGTATCACAATTCATGCTGAACTAGATTTGGAGATGGGACTTCATGTTAAAAAAACCCCTTGAAGTAATGTTCTTGTATAAATAATATGCAGACACTAACCTGATGTATCTTAGACTTGGCAACTTCTATTAAAGCTCCACTTTCAGCTTTTTGATTCGAAGAATCTTTATTTGTATTATTACCTGACTGTCAAACAAAAAAATGGAACTGTTACTGTTAGTCACCTTTTGAGTTCAGTTGACAGATTCAACTCACACGAGGAAAAATATGTATTTAATAGTATTTCACACTATTTAACATCAAAATATACACATACCACAAAAAATTGTAACTTGAGCTTAACAATCAAAGTCCACAAACAACCACACCAGTCTACGAAGAGCAGAATTCTATATTAACATTAGTGTTACATTACATTGCTCCGCAGTTGAGAAGAATTCTTTTACCCAGAAGGATGATTTGCACATTCTAGTGTACCTCTTTAATATTTCCTTTAGCAGAATTAATATATACTTAAAGATAAAATATTTTATCTTAAGTGTGACATACCATCAACAGGAAAAGACTGAAGTCCCTTTTTCACTTCCAAGTCACTACTGATTCTACTGATTTTTCCAAAAGACACATAAAAGATTTCACTTGAAAGTATGCCTCATACTTTCAGATACTGTGCAAGAGAGATACTTGATTTCCCATCCCATGCTACATAGTTGCAATGCCTTTCTGACACTGACCCTTCTCTCTCAAATTTAGGGTCTCATATGGTCATAATCCAAGACAAACAAGGAAAACCATGTATATTTGACCCTGAAGACAGCTGTCTTTCCAATGCCTGTCTCTGACTCAAAGACATCTTAGCTCCCTCAGTGTAAGAGAAAAGGGTGAAAGAGAAGGAATAAACAACTGCTGTACATAATTAACTCAGTTAACAACAGGTCTAAGTTGGTGTCTAAAGCTACAGATGATCTATCAGAGTTTTAAAATTCAAAAGTATTTTAAAAGACTAAATTTGGATTGAGTTAAAGCATACTTCTGATAAAGTTGTAGTGGCATTCATATGATTTTAAGCTTACCTCATTTTTTCCATTCTTGCTGTTATTGTTGCCCTGTGAAATCATTTTTTCCAGAACAGCAAGCAGATGCAAGGCTTTCTCAGCTTGGTAAGTTAACAGGTATAAGTCTACAAGCAAGAAGCACACAGCCTGGGCAAACTTCTCTTCTGTATAAAGCAAAGAAGTAAAAATGATTTTACAGCTCTAATACTAATCCTTCCAAACATGACTAAGAAAAAAAAATTACCACAAAGTGCATTTATGCAACATTATGAGAAAAATCAATATATTACATAAGAAAAAAAAATACAGCCATCTAAATAAATATATATAGTGAAACACATAGATAGGTACATATACTGAAAACAAAGCTCATTCATTCAAATGGCATCAGCATAGAAGCATAGACTAAAGACAGCTTAACAAGTATTTCATGTTCACAGATTCTGAGAATTGATCTAGGCAGATCAGCACCAAAGATGCAGCATCTGAACAGAGAGTCACACGAAAATGCAGAATCCCACAGAATTTGAAAAGATTCTGTACAAATATATCTGACTTCAGCAGAGTAAGTCCCAATTATGCATACTGAAAACTGTGAGGAACTGAAGGAGAAACACAGTAGCATTTACTTAATTTATTGATAAGCACGCATATTCTTCAGCCTTCTCACTTCTAAAATTCAACAGGGATTATGAAGTTATTTCATACAAGTATGGCAATTCCACTACACAAGGTCTCATAGCTCATAAGAGCTGCAGACTTTATATATATTCACATATGAGCACATACAATTATGTATGACCTAGTGCAGATATTTAAAAATGTGAGTCCCTTGAAAAACAGACATCGACCCACAATGACTCAAAATACCAGATTTAAAATAATTTCACTAGTTTGTACATATCATTTACATAAATACCTTTTCAAGTTGCAAAAAATCCATTTCAGTTTCCTTATATTTGTCTGCTAAATGTCTCTGAAGTACCTTCCCCCCAAATTTGGTTGTTGTCCTTGATATAAGTAAAACATTCTTCATTCCAAACCCTATCTACTTTTTTAAAAGCATATTAGGCAAATAAAAAAAAAAATCACTTGTCTGACAGTGAGCAAGACTGAATGATCTTTCTGTAGTTATTGTGTGAACAAAAATCTTCTTTCTGTCTACATACCAAAAGGCTCTATAAACTGGTACAGCTTCTCCCCAACCGATATAGCTTCAGTATACTGACGCAGATGATACAGAATAACAGCTTGATTGTAGTACAGCATACTGTTTTCAACATCATCCAAACCATCCATTTCTTCAACAACAGAGTGAACCTGAAAAAAAAAACCATTCATTTCACTACAGACTTTCAGTACCTATGATTTTAAAATGTCAGATATTAAACAAAAAGATAATCCAAAACTATGAATGTCTCTAAAGATATGTAGGAGTTATAATCTAATAAACTTTACTGTTGTTGCACATAAACCCAGCAAAAAAATATACAATCAAATAGAAAGCTGTCAACTGAGTAGTAAAATAATATTTTCACTTTTTTATTATTTCATAAACTATTCCAGGTTAAGGAACTTTCTACTGAAAGAACACAGCAGGTCTTTCTACTGTTATAACCTCATATCAATTGCAACAATAACTAAAAACATAACTACCAAATATGTTATAAAAGATTAAACTGACTCAGATGTTTAAAAGTAATGTTACTTTCTTATTCTTTTATTAAATCCAAGGGACAAGGGGCAGAAGTTTTACTCCTATTTCATGGAAGATTTCACCACCTTTAGTAGTACTCAAAATCAAATACCATGTCAATATATTTGCCTTACCTGGTTTTTCAGCTGGTTAAGGGTTTGTCTCAAATTGTCCGTTGTAGTCTGGTTACTTCTACAGAATTCTGCAACAGCAGTATTCAAAGTTATTTTGTAGTCATCTTTGTTGATGTCTTGAAGGGTATTTAGGTGTTGTAAGCAAGCATCATAGTTTCCAGCCTGGAAATTGCACACATACCAGAAACATGCATTAGAAGATACAAAGTGTTTCCTTTATCAATAGCAAGTTAAGTGAACTAGATGTCTAAACACACATTTCATTATTTATGCAGATGAACATGTATGAGAACCAAATATAAATATTGAAGCCATATCCAAACTTCAAAAATAATTTGGTGGAGGAAGGACAAATTATGTAGTTGATTATTATAAACAGATGTTTCCATGAAAAGTGTTAAGTTTCAATACTCTTATTTCCTCAGTTTTCATAAACTTTTCCCGATTATGTGAACGTTGAGTGGTTGCAGTTGCTTACACAAGTCCCAGCCCAACATTTTATGTTCATCCTTCACTTCATCTGGATATATAGCGAGTTACAATTTAATCTATGTAAGTCAGCTTAAGATAGGTTGGAAAAAAAAGGTTGCCACTTTCCCAGTATAGGTTTAAAAAACATTTTTACAAGGTTCAGCTGTTGGATGAAGTATTCAATCACCCAGGCACGCCTAAACAGAAACTAGGAGCCAAGCATGATGCTCTGCTGATGTGTGATTTAATTGAAAAATCCCTTTCTTTGACCTCAGGAATAAACAAAGACTTCAGAAAGGCTCACCTCCGCCTGCTTTCAGTTTTGGTCTTTTCTGTGTTGGTACAGGAGGAATTTAGTGGCATCAAGGAATGAAAGAGAATTCCTGACTCTTTCAACTACATTAAGCCTAAATGACGCGTCACTCTGAACTGCTCAATTCCTACACAGTAATAATCACATTCAGCTCTTCCATATCAGGGTTACCTCCAATCTGGTCAGACAGATAAGCAGATTCATTTCCATCTCTGTCAGTGCTTCACAACCAAAAGCTAAGCTCTTAAGTACCATAACCACCCTCCACTTCCTCCTCCTTTTTAATTTCTGTTCCATAGAGGTTCCTCCTGGGCTCCTGACTAACTTCCTCTATTAAGGAAAGAATACAACAGAGAAGGGCTCTGGGGTCCTTCTCCTCTTCCCAAGAAAGTTGCCATTCTACAGTTACTCTCAACGGAACCATTCCAGTTCCTTCAGTCTCCCATGAAAGCACAGTCATACAACCTACAGAGAGATGCAGCAGGACCTTGACAGGCATTTTCACAGCTCTAAGCACCAACAGCATGGATTGCCTAGTGATCATGTGCACAAACATGGGGACTTGGAACTCAACTGCTGGTGTGTTCTTAAATTGAGATAGTTCATCTCCCAGTGATTCTCTTCCCGTGCTCATGCTCTGAGCTTCTCTTCATCAGGAGTAGCTTTCAGATCACAGCAACACAGCTTCTAATCATGGCTGGACTACAAACCTTGAACCTTTGAATGCTCAGCTTATTTTGTGATGTTTTTTTATCAGCTAAGCAGCCTTTATGCCCCTCTACTAGACAAGATCTAGAATGCAGTAACCAATTTTATGGGAATTCTATCAAGACTGAAATTGGAAGTGTAATATGATAAAGCAGCATGCAAGACAGTCCACAACGCTATTCACAGCTACTCAATTGCAAGAAAATTGGCAAACAAGGCACCAAATTAATTCTGCTCTCATCTGTTGCTACCTCAGAACTCCATGAATTTAGGGAGTTCTTAAAGCAAGAAAAACATCATGAGATAGACCAGATACACTGGACCAGTATAAAAGTAAAAATGAAGTCAATAGCAGATCAAAAGTATTTTAGGCATGTAGATCTGTGGGCAAGGTGGAGAACAAACTACTCTTTCATGTGCCTTCAGTTCTCAGGATCAAATGCCAGGGATAAAAACGTTATTAAAAAAGAATAATTGAGCTAGACAGCATTCAAGAAGACATCGGTGAACAGCATCAGCTACAGTCAGTTTAATGACCAACTGCATGCACTTCATATGACAACATTCCAGGCAAAATTAAAGTACTGAGTGACACATACAAGCAGGAATCTCAAAAGAGAGCATTTAAATTCTTCCCCCCAATTTATTTCACACATCCAAAACTGAATTAACACAAGGCATTTTGGAAACAGATACAACAACTGAAAAGAAAAGCAATTATACTTCCTGTCACACTAAACAAAATTAGGAGACAATATAAGGAAAGAAATAAACCGGAAGTCCGGGTACCTGAATTTTAACACACACAAAAAAAAAATCTTCTGAGAAACACAAAACAGGCAGTAAATATTTCCTGTAGATGTTATGCATAGAAGAATATGTTTTAATGCGAAGTGACAAAAAGGTTTGCTTCCTTGCTGTTTTTTAAATACATGTGGTTCCTTTAGACCCTTTAACACAACATTTTTAGCTTGAAGTGATTAATTCTTCAGAGAGATCATGCATTTCCAATGCTGACACAGAATAGCAGCCTGCTTCTTCTAATTAAATCATCATACAGCTTTGAAGGTTACTAAGTTTTTGGAATCAAGATTTAAACATGCTCTTGTTCAAGTATCCCGTTCAGTCTTCTCACATCACATCACACAGAAAATGCATGTGCTGGTTTTACAACCCAACTAATGCTACTTTGATATAATATTCTCTTGATGCATTTGCAACTGTATTAAGAAAACAGCAAAAACAATTATTTAAGCCCACTTAGCAGTTATGTGGTAAATTAGAAGTCTCAGAGTTTGGCTTTGTCTCACCTGAAAAGCTTGTAATGCACTGCTCGACAATTCCTTCTCCTGATCAGTAATCCCAGAAGTACCCGCTCCTTCATGTTTCTCAGTACCTTGATCTGTAAAGTGGACAGAAGATTACAAGAAAGTTTGCAAGTGTGATGACAGCTATGCAGCTTAAACATTTTGCTTCTTCCAGTTCTCAAGATCCTCCTGCCAGTACAAACAATTTTCCAGATAACTCCAGCAATCTCCCTACTACACTATCTATATCCCAATTATATCTCCTACTACAGTATCCCAAGTTACTCTATACTAGTGAATTCCTCTCCATAAAATGTAAATTACTGTGCTCAATCAACAACCAAACTCCTCCAAGTTAAGAGAAATCTAAAATGTATGGATTGTCAGTTTAAAGCTGCAACCATACACTAGGATTGTCTTATTTTGCTCAAAAACCAGCAGTGAGGGCCATGCATCATAAAATAGGTACCACACAGTGGGCGAGATGAAAAACCCATGCATCCTGTACACTGCTTCCTAAACAGCAAGCAAGGGACGCTCTAGGGATCAACAAAAACCAGAGTAAACACTGGAACTTCCACACAGCTCCCTGTGGAAAAGTATCTCCTTAAACAAGAGGCTGCAATTGAACCATCATTGTTAATATTAATTGACAGACCTGAAACATTATATAAGAAAACTCTCTATACTTTTGTACCCTTCAATATATTCCATCCAATGCTGTCTGGTGATTATACTGCAAGGCACAAGCAAATACTGCCTATTCACTTTTTCAGCCTCACTCCAACTCTTACAGAACTTTCTTTGAATCATCTCTCTTTCAAGGTAAGCAGGAGCAGTTTATTCTGTATCTTCCTCACATTTTTTTTCTCAGAATCTCTTCCAGTTCTGCTATATCCTTTTCCAGACTAAGACACCAAGAACAACCTGCAGCAGTTATAATGGTGGACCCTTTATGCATTTATATAGCAATGTAATAAGGTTATAACTGTCTTCAATTTCTTTTAATAGAATTCCTAATAGTTTGTTTCACTCACCATTGAGCATATTTTTTCAGAAAGAAGTCAACTAAATCCTTTTCTCATCATGTAATTAAGAATTCAGTGAAGTTGCATTAAAAAGCCCAGTAAGGATATTCCATGTCAAAGAAGCTGAAAAAAACCCCAAATCACTAAGCCCTTCCTTTTGCTGAACACAAACTACTGGAGAAAAAAAACCCAACCACACAACCACCACACCAGACAGATTATTTCTAAGAGTGTTAACTAATGTGCCAGAACATACAAAAATCATTTAACGTTTTTCAAACAAAGACTTTATAAAACAGCAATGGTTTCCACTTTTGCAGAAAATTATTTCTTGAATTTCACAGTGGAAGATTTGCTCTAAGCTACCTTTTGCTATCTTAACAGGCTAGTAGGCTTTCTAAACTTAATGCCTTCTTTCTCTTCCCTAGAATTCAGAGACATAATGCAAACTCTGCTAATTTTGTTTTCACTTTGAACAAATGAAAACACTTAGCTATGAGCTCCTCTGCAAAATCCATTCCCCATCATCACCAATATATCTGGATCGCCTTGCAGCGACTAGGAACATTTACAAATATAGGACAAACAACAACAGTAAGGGGCAGCCAAAATTCAGAAGATTCATAAATTAACATCCACAGTGAGCATAAAACAGACTTACTAATCTATCAAGTTTGTGCCTGTTGCTGGGAAGATGGTGACATCCCTTCCACTGCCCTCTGCAATAACATATTTGAACGAGAATCATAAATTGGTTGTGACTTTCATCCTTCATAAAGATGTCAACAAAGTTGAGATTTTAAAATCTCAACAATCTTACACCTGCAAGCATGACCCACTGTGATTTGGACAATACTCAGGATTCAGCAACTTCAGTACTCTGGAAGGATGGACCCCCAGGGGCCTACACCTGCTATAAAATCTGACTGCATAAGGCATTGATCAACACCACTTGCATTGCCTTCTCCTTGAAAGGGAAAGGTAGAAGAGAGATTTAAAACACAAAAAAGCTCAGAAAATTTTTGATGTGCCAAAGGCTTTCTGCAACAAAAAAGGAAAGGAACAAGAAGCACCTCTCCTTCAAGCTAAATATAGCACAGATTTAATTCCCATTCTAAACCTTCTAAACCTTCTGGTTTATACAGATGAACAGAAAGCTATTTCCCTTCAAGGATCTCTAGAACAGCAGCAAATAAGCAAATGCAACTTCCCTCAAACTTTCACACTAACAGTGGCAATATCTGCTTTACTTGCTCAGCATGACTTCGACATTGTGCTAGTAAAGGTAAACACAGTGCAGAGCCTTGGGACTCCAAAACTTTTGAAGCTGATAACACTCAGTCTGACCAACAGGTTCCTCACATACAAGTTTACCTAGCAGAGAGCCATCAACTACCAAGTGCATTACTGATTACTGCCATTGTATGTAGGGTTCGTAAAACCAGCATCTCAAATGAAGTAATCTTGAAGTAAAATGTCTGCAGTTAAGTTACAGATAAACCAAGAGACACTTGTCTAAGGTCTGCAATAAAAGCACTGCTTACACAGCTGTTTTATATATTTCCTAGGGAAAAAAATCAGGACAAGTCTTCAGATTTCACTGTGTCTGTTAGCCTGCTGGTACATTAAAAAAACCCCCTACTTCAAGCAAAAACAGAGCTGTCCCTTCTCCTGTAGAGTCAGTTGTATGGCTGTAATCCAATCAATCACGCCTACTACCACTCAGTAAACAAAGCAGGTTTGTGAAACCTGAACTGGAGGCTTATCAAGAAAACAAAACTAAAGTCCAGCTGACTTATTTCACAGCATAGTTTTATCCTTTGGAAAAAAATGCTTTGGATACTCTCTACCCTTTTTGTCCAAACACACCTGAAACATGTTAAAGACTTAAAAGTCATTCCAGTCTAATATAATACGGACATTCTTGTTTAGCCCAGGATCTACTGCTTCAGCTCATCTTTATTAGCAAGAGATCCCTCCGACAGGAGTCGCCTGGAAGCCGGCACAAGATACTGAACAGAACCCACCAATTCCACCTAGATGGGTGGGGAAAGTACTCCTCTTGGCTGCAAATGACTGTCTCAGTGCTTGCAAATAAAACTATTACTTCCGTATTCCTTGAGGCATTTCAAAGTGAAACAGGCAGGAAAATTGTTCCTTGGCAAAAGATACAGCACGCCGCTTGCTTGCTCTGACCTACGGACGTCCGGCGTTCTCACAGAAGCACCTGGTGTGGGTAACACACGGCACACCAGTCACCTCTGACACACTCCCATCCGTACGGCAGCTACAGCTATCAGCTGAAATATCCAGAACTGTGCAGACTCTCTGCTTCACAAATGACAGGACTTGATTTGTGTCTGTAAATTGTATTAACATACGGACCCGTTTGTTTAACTTTCCATTTGTCCAACCTTCATGAGTACAGAACAACTCCAAAACTGAAACTTGTCAGGCTCGTGATGAGGGGCAAAAAAAGGGCAACCTGGAAAAGTATGTAAAAATCAACCACTCAGATTTTGATCTGGAGGAAGCTGCTGCACTGAGCTGGAAGTCAAAGAATCAAGCTAGGGAATTATCTTCCTAGCTATTGATCCTGGGGCTGAGAAGCAGAAACACTGTGTCGCGGGGGCTGGTTTGCTTTGGACAAGCAGGCAGCTGCTCCTAGTGGAGAAGTTACATCATGGTGGACAGCAGAACTTCAGGAAAATTGGCTCTATGAGAGGAGAACAAGGAAAAGCATGAGACTGCCACCTGACATGGGAGATTGCTCTCCTCATGGGCTTGCTGCCACAATATCATAAAAGCAACAAGAAGTCACATCTCCCACATACACATACCTGAAGACACCTGAGAGTGACTGCAATCATTATCCTTCTCATACCTGCTCTCCGTTTCTCCAAGGACTGCTGTTCCTGAGCTTTCTTGTTCCTACGCCCTGTAAATTACATCTTGCATGAACTGTGCTGTTGAACACCAGAGTATCTCTGGAATTATTTTTTATTTCCAAACTCTACAGGCAGGGGGATAATCTCTTTCTTGAAAGGTGAGGAATCTATCACGTGACTCTTGCTCCAAAAGCATTTTGAAAGGTATGAAGACCAGCTGGAGTCCAGCCTTTATAAGATAATAACAGTTTGTGGCACCAAGACTTACACTTTAGTTTTTGTATGAAGCCCTTCACTAGCAGTATAGGTATAATAGGCTTCTTTTGTGTTGTGCAATAAAAAGCAAACACTTCTCAGTGGAAAGCTAATTGTAGCTTGCTGTTATGAACAAGTACAGCATGTAGAATATCTTGCCATAGCTCACATCTCTCAAGGAACTGAGAAGTTCCTTCAACACTTCAAAGAACAGCAATAAAACATATTGAAAAATTAATGCCAATTTTTTTCTTGTAGTTTAGGAGTCACTTACAGTTCTTATAAAATACACATGATAGTTTAGTAAACATCACTCAATACAGTATACTAATCTTCCCCATAATTATTTTCCAGATACTGAGGCATTTCATAATTAGCATCCAGAGAAAAAAATGCTTAACATGATTTTAAATAATGCTCCCATCACATAAAACCAACTGAAAAAAACCCGAAGAACACAGGTGACCAGTGACAGGACCCAAGGGAACGGCATGAAGCTGTGTCAGGGGAGGTTTAGGTTGGATATCAGGAAAAGATTTTTTTACCAGAGGGTCCCCAGGGAAGTGGTCACAGCACTAAGCCTGACAGAGTTCAAGAAATGTTTGGACAATGCTCTCAGGCACATAGTGTGATTCTTGGGGATGGTCCTGTGCAGGGCCAGGAGTTGGACTTTGGTGATCCTTGTGGGTCCCTTCCAACTCAGGATATTCTACAAGTCTATTAAGTAGAATTGTGCAATTCCATAAGTAAGGCTTTCCTCCACATCGCCCTCTTCTCCAACCTGTCCTGAGCTGCCATCTGAGGGAAGGACCATTTCGGCAACGAGGACTTCTTGCACGATGGGGAATCTTATGGGGGAGGGACAAACAGGAGCTTATCAGTGCCAGGGAGTTACACAGCAACTGCATTTGAAATTTATTTTGCCTGTTTACCAGATGACGACTTATTTTTTAGCGATCTCGGTGATTTCTCTCTACAGGGTCCTTTCGGGCCCGAGTTCAGTGAGGACCCACTCGTGCCCTGGAACCAAAGCAGCATCCCTGAGGGAATCTGACTGAACTCCAGCAGCACCACTAGGAGTTATAATCTCTCTCGCACCTTCCACATGCCCCAGTTTAACAAATTAACCCAGAAGCTCGACTTCTGTAGGGGTTATTAAACCCTGGAAAACACCCCCTCCCCGCCAGTAAGTCCATAGGGCGCTCCCCACCGAACCCTTCCAGGCCAGGAGGGGGCAACAGCCCAGCGCCGCTTGCCGAGGGCACGGAGGGCCCCGTCCGCACACGGGCCGGCCGGTGACCCGGCAGGTGTCACACGGCCCCCTCAAGGCGGCCACCGCGGCCCCGGACAGCGGTGCACTACTTCCCCGGCGGAAGGGCACAGCATACTGCAGCCCAGCAACCGTTTCTCGCGGTGCTCACCGCCCCCCGCGCGGCCGCGTATCCCTCCGCGCGGGCGGCCCGGGCCCGGGGCAGGCACGGCAGGGCCGCGCCGCTCCCCCCGCACTCACCCGCAGACTTGTCCGCCGCCATCTCCACTGCCGCTCCGTACCCGACCACGCAGCCCGAGCGCGCCGGTAGTTGCCGAGAGTCCCCTTCGCGCTGCGCCACAGGCGCTGGCCGACCTCAACCACCGCCGCCGCCGACACCCGGCCACTGTCCCCCCGGGACTACTTTGCCGCCGCCGCCCTGCGCGCGCCTGGCCCGCCCCGCCGATGCGCCGCCCGCACCGATTCGCCGCCGCTTCCGGGTTCCCGGCGCGCCCGCGACGTCCGGCCGTTACCGGGGCAGCGCGGACGTGACGTCAGGACGCCGACGGGGAGCGGGGAGGGGCGGGGCCGCCATGTTGGCGTGTAGGGGCCGGGAGCGGCCGGGGGGGGGGCAGTGGTCAGGACTGCGGCGGCACGAGGTGCCCTGGCGCTGCTGTCTCGGACGGGTTTTGTCTTTGCTGCCAGGTTCGGACGTGCTGGATCCTAATCAATGTGTATAAATATCTAAAAGAGGGATGCCAGTAGGGTGGAGCCAAGCTATTCTCTGTGGTGCCCAGCAGTAGGACAAGAGGGAACGGGCAGAAACTGATGCACGAGAACTTCCACCTGAAAAGGAGGAACTTCTTTACTGTGTGGGTGACTGAGCACTGGAACAGGTTGCCCAGAGAGGTCGTGGAGTCTCCCTCACTAAAGATACTTAAGAGCTGTCTGGATGCAATCCTTTGCAATGTGCTCTAGGATGACCTTGCTGGAGCAGAGGGGTTGGACCAGATGACCCACTGTGGTCCCATCCAGCCCTGCCCATTCTTTGATTCTGTGATTCCCTCCGGAGCAGCGAGTTGCTGGTAGTGGTGACCTGAAGGCTTCCATCAGGTGTCACCAGTTGCTGATGGTGAAACCTTCAACATATTCACTACTTTATGTGGATTATCAGCCTGACTATCTAAAGTATTGTAAAGGTGCTCATCACCATAGTAGTTTAAAGAGACAATGTGGCCCAGTGTCTGCATCCTATATTCTTTCCCAAGTGGCTGTTTGGGCACCAGAGACCTGAGGAAGCCCAGGTTCACACCAGGAGTTTGAAGTGTCCCTGGAATTCAGTGCTGGGGTGCGGAGGGGGAAAGGGGCAAAGCACCTCCTTTGTCATGTCCAAATCTCATTTGTGGTGGTTGTCGTTATCTTTGTCATTAAAGTACCAGGCATGGGATAAATGGCATTGGCAGAGTCATGAATATAAAAGATTTTTAAATGTTTGTGAAATTATTGTACCTCTGTGGCACTAGTGAGGCCACACCTGGAGTACTGTGTTCAGTTCTGGGCCCCTCAGTTCAGGAAGCACACTGAGGTGCTGGAGTGGGTCCTGAGAACAGCAACAAAGCTGGTGAAGGGTCTGGAGCACAAGTCCTATGAGGAGCGGCTGAGGGAGCTGGGGTTGTTTAGCCTGGAGATGAGGAGGCTCAGGGGAGACCTTATTGCTCTCTACAACTACCTGAAAGGAGTTTGTAGCAAGGTGGGGGTCAGCCTCTTCTCCCTGACAACCAGCAACAGGACAAGAGGACGTAGTCTTAAACTGTGTCAAGGGAGGTTTAGGTGGGACTTTAGGAAGAATTTCTTCACTGAAAGGGTGGTTAAACACTGGTACAGGCTGCTGCTCCAGGTTGTGGAGTCACCATCTCTGAAGGTGTTCAGGAAATGACTTGGTGCTTTGGTCTAGTTGACATGGTGGTGTTCAGTCACAGGTTGGACTCGATGATCTCAGAGGTCTTTTTCAACCTAATTGATTCTGTGATGACTTGGATATACTATCTACAAGCATTTAAGCATTCACCTGTGCTAAGAAGTATCTTTGTGGGCTCAGCAGCCACGTGTTGTTCAGATTCTTGGGTAGGGTCTCCCTGGATGAGTGCAGAGGAGCCAGACAGGGGGTTCTTTTTTCAACCCCTATATACATACAATGGGAGGAGGGATGAGGTAAGAAAAGGCCCCAGGGGTGTCCCCTCTCAGGCACCAAAAGGCTTCCTGTGCGTCTGTCCCTTGGAGTCAAGCTCCTGAGACACAGGAAGTTACCCTAAATTGCCACCACCATCGTGCTGCGCCTCTATGTGCTTGCTCTGTGTCACAGTGTGGACACTGCTTCCACAATATTGTCACCTCTTAATATGGGAACACTTTCTTGTATTATTTCTCCAGATGTGGTTCTCCAAGACTTCCTCTGCCTCTTCTTCATTTATTCCTGTTAAACATTGACTTGTTTTTCTATTTGTGACAGCAAGTGTAGATATACCCAGTTCTGATTAACAGGTTTTACATTATATGATTTTGGCCTTGCTGCCAGCAGACAATGTTTGTCAAGAAAGACCAGACTATCTGAGGCAGACTGCACCTATGGTATGCCTGTGGTACATTAGATAAAGGTTTACTTCAGAGAGGTAAGGTTTGTAGGCAAGGGTAGGTGATGCTTCCTTTAACAGAGGGATACAGTTGGAAAAAAAGAAACACACTTTAAGACACATTAGCTCTGAATACCTTTAAGCCACAGCTTTTAATGAGCCAGGCCCTGTAAAATGAAAGATTCTGAAAAGGTTATTTCAAGAATTTGAACAGCAGTATGAGTCTTTCTGTTTTGTAACTGAAGTTCTGAATACTCCAAATTGTGTTTAATAACTTCTATTATCACCGCTATTATGTTGTCATTTTATGTATAGGTACATATATATGTAAAAACCATGCTGTTTTGGTAAGAAATAGAGGCAAAAGCACTGTGTTATGAGAGTAGCTGCATATTCTCTCTGACTTTTATCAAAACAATAAAGTCACCAAATATTCACCCTGAGTGACAGAGCTGGAATGCCCCATGTGGACCTGATGTGGATGTGTGTCCCTCTCCCTTAGGCTTGGTACAGTGTTTACTGCCAGTACCTGAGCAGTAGCCTGTTTGTTCTGGAGCATTCCGCATCAGGATGGGCACCACTGTGAATTTACCATTCCCTGCTGTAGCTTTTCTCTAACAATCCTGTCAAAACTCATTTAGCTTCAAGTGTGGCAGCCCTGGTATCCAGCTGCTTCTCTATTCTACATCATGACATCTAGAGGACAGTTGTATGAGTTTGCTTTATCCATCTTGCCATTATTTTACCACAGAACTTATTTACCTGAGGGGTACTTACAGCAAGCTTGGTATATCTTCTCGCATCATTTTACCATGTTTGTGGCTTGTAGTTCCAAAATAATTTCTTTTTTTCCATTTCTAAGGGACAGACAAAGCATTTGTGTCAGCTGGCCTTTTCTTTTTTTCGGTATGTATGATTTTAAAAAGGAACTTAAATAAAATCAGGTATTTCCTCCCTTCTTATTAATAATAAAATCTTAATTGTTTATGTTGTGGAGAGTACTAAAGGAAGGGAAGAGACACCTGCCCTTTATTGCAGTTCAAACATACAGTCATGCAATCAAAAATGTTGACATTTTTCCTTCAAAAATATTGTGGTAGCATCACTACCTTCCTCTAAGGACAGGGAAGTGGGTTTCTTGCCTACATGAATGTATAATTTGCATTCTGCTTGGGGTCTCCGGACTCAGGGAGGCAGGCACGCCATCTGCTGTGGAAGGTACAGAATAAAATCAAATACTATTTGAGAGACTAAAAAAGTGTGTGTGGGGGGGGAACCCCACTTCTAAAATATTAGCTCTCCTGGAGTTTTGTTCTTTCAGGAAAGAAATTTCCACAATTCAGGCTTTTAATCCAAAACTCATTTTGAAGAAAACAAATATGGTACAGAGACAGGCAGATTTTTCTAGGGTTTTTTTGCCCATTTCTAGGCTGAATCATAAGAAGCCCAAAGGAGCCAAATGTAATTTGTAATGTGGGAGGGGAGGGGGGGAAGTTTCGGGGGAATAAAACAAAGCTGCTCCCAGACAGAGAGTAGTCCCAGCATCTCATTCCTGCCTTGTACAGTACCTTCCTTCAGCAGACTAGATTAAGTAGAAGTAGGCCAGGGTTTCCTCTCTGCTTTTGGCCCCACAAAGCAAACTTTTCAAGGCTCTACTTTAAGTTCTTGGAGATTCAAAAGCAGCAATACAGCAATCTCCTACCCAGCTTTGCAGCAGTAGATGAGATGTAGATAACCTCTCCACTGATCATATGAGCAAGACCTGGCTAGTAGAGGAGAAAATCAGGATTTGTGACACCTTCAGTCACTGTCAGACTATGGAAGAGAGTATGGCCAGCTCCAAAGGGAACTGTGAAAGTTACAATTCTTTTGCCAGATTCCACAGTATGGAAATCTCAGCAGCAATTTGTTTGCCCACATTCCAAAAGACAAATGATTTAATGTAAGAAATATTTTCTCTGTTATTAATAGAGGTCCCTCTCCTTTGCCACTGTAAAGTTTAAAAGCCTTTACCCCCTAGGTGGCACTATACAATAAAGCAAGGCATGTTTAAATACTGTTTTCCCCCTGCAGGTGACAGAATCATAGTCACTAAGGTTGGAAAAGACCTCCAAGTTCATCGAGTCCAACCTTTGACAGAACACTACCATACAAACTAAACCATAGCACTAGGTGTCACATCCAGTCGTTTCTTGAATACTTCCAGGGATAGTGGCTCCACCACCTGGATCAGCAGTCTGTTGCAATGCTTAACCGCCCTTTCAGTAAAAAAATTATTCCCAGTGTCCCACCTGAATCTCCCCTGGCACAGTTTGAGGCAATTCCTCTTGTCCTGTCGCTGGTTGCCTGGGAGAAGAGGCTGCCCCCCAACTGGCTAGAACCTCCTTTTCAGGTAGTTGGAGAGAGTGATGAAGTCACCCCTGAGCCTCCTTTTCTCCAAGCTAAACAATCCCAGCTCCCTCAGCTGCTCCTTATAGGCTTACTCTTTAGATCCTTCACCAGTTCCATTGCCCTTTCCTGGACTCACTCCAGCACCTCAATGTCTTTCTCGTAGAGAGGGGCCCAGAACTGAACACAGTACTCCAGGTGCGGCCTCACCAGTGCCGATTACGGGGGGACAATCCCTTCCTGGTCCTGCTGGCCACACTATTCCTGATACAGGCCAGGATTCCCCTGGCCTTTTTGGCCACCTGCACACACCGCTGGCTCGTGTTCAACTGGCTGTCGACCAGCACCCCCAGGTCCTTTTCTGCTGGGCTGATGGAATTCTTATTTACAATGTAAACTAGTGTAAGTATGCTGAATGTAGCTATTAGTCTCAGCTAGGTAATCCTCTTTTTCTGAAACTGTTTCTCTAAGTCAGTAAAACACACTGATGTGAATCTCATCTAAATTCAATATTTTTGCTTTCAGAGTGCTGTATTTTCCTGGAAAATTATGGTGCATCACAAGCTATTAGTTTTTGTTCTGTCTGTGTGCAGTGAATAAACCAGCATAGGCTATGTTTACTTCAGCAAGTCACTCAGAGCAGCAGGAGTAGACTGATAGCTGTAAACAGCAGGAGCTGAGGTTCCTCACATCTCCAGTATATCCTCACACAGAAATTACTTTGCATCAGGTGAGAACTGGCACATCTCTATCACCCATTTTGAAACCACCTGAAATAAAGCGATCTCACAAAACTTCAACCACGGAACTTCTAAGAAGCATCAAGTTCCCCTTTCACCTGTCTCATGCAGATATGTTTCACATCAGCCTCTACTGTCTACACAAAGACTTCACAGGCAGAAGGAAGTCCTCTAATTTTTCTCACTCCTGCAGTTTCTGAGTGACACTGTTTTACTTGTTTCAGATCCTGCTTTTCACTCTGATGCTGGAACATGCGTTGCTTAGTGGTGCAGGGGAGGAACAAAAGCCTTTGCCTTGCAGCCACATTGCCAGGAAAATATCTTGAGTAAGGCCTTCTTACCCCTTGCTTTCACATGCAAAAAAAAAGATAATATTTTTCTGACAGTGTTTACCACTGTGACAGTTTTGCTCACAGTCAAGTAGAGATGCTGAGCCTGAGAGACAAGCTTAGACAGACAGGACCTTGCTAATATTGGGATATAGAAATAGAACAAGCAGGTGCAAAACTCCTGAGAGCAAGGGAGTACCACTGAGAAACATAGAGAACAGTGGAACATAAGGGATTTAGAGGAATGATGTCATAATATCCTCAATAAATTTCTATGACTCCCTTTTGAAAAGAGGTGCTCTTTTTTTCCTCACATTATAGTACCTGATAAATAACTCATGCCATTATTTACCTCCCCCTTTCCACATTCTAGCTCTGCTCTGATTTTGCTTGTATATGGTATTATGTGTTGTCCCTCCATTTGGTCTCATAATAGCATCATTATATTTTTCTGCTAATGGGTTTAAGTCCAGAGAACACCCAAATTGTGCCAAGGCTTTCCTAGGATAAGAAACAAAACATGGTCTCATATCATCTTTGTCCTTTTTCCCTTCCAGTGTCATCCAGAAGAAATCTGTGCACCCACTTACAATGAATCTGGAAACCAAAGAGTTTGTGGGAGGAGAACTATCCCCATATCACCATACCTTTGGGGTTGTTTCCTTTCCTGTACAGAAGGCTAACCCAAAGCTTAGGGGCCTTTGGTTTCCACTTACTCAAATTGACAGAAGTGCCTTTATTTCAACAGAAGGATACTAAGGCCCAATCAATAACTTGCAGAGGGGCAAAATTTCCAGTGTTACACAGTTAGGAGTAAAAGGTCTCTAAAACATTTTGTGATTACATCAGTGCCTTTTAGTGCAAGCAGGAATTGATTTATTCATAACGGGAGGATGTCTGCATGACATATGTGTTTATGTCCAATGTGTCAAGCGCTACTTTATGCCCTTCCACACTGCAGAGCTTTGACCCTTTCTGAGACACTGAAATAGAAAGCCAATGTACCTGTATCAAATCAGAGGCTTTGAGGAAACGCTGCTGCTTTCAGCACAGTCTTAAGAATTCTTCCTGTGCCGGCCTCAGCTGCTATGTACACTTTGTAGGGAAGTCTAACACTTGCTGTCTTTGGTTTGCAGTTCCTAGGAGGCTGAAGTTTATTGAGAAATTATGTTATGTCTCCAGGCAGGAATAATCTTTAAATGGGAAAAGTAAATTCTTACTAATGACTTGTTTATGGTAGTTATTATTCTCAGCGTTTTTTCAGACATTCAGAAAAAGATGACTTCTCTCTTGAGAAGTATAAAGCAATTCTTTTTTCACTAAAGATACGAATTATGTTGCCAATAAAGCCTATATAAGATGTTGCAAAAGCCAAAGAATGTGTTCAGTACAATTCTTTTACCTTCACACGGTGCATTAGAATCTTTGTGTATGTTCTCGTTATTCTTCCTTACTTTTTTAGAGTTCTCACAGGCATTTAAGTAAATTTAAAGTATTTTTTCCTCTAAAACTTGTAGGAACTTATGAACATAAGACCATCACACCATTTGTTGAAATATGTTAACACTATTGTGATAGAGGTTTTTTTAGGAGATAGGAAGTTTGTTTACCTATTATTTGCCTAAAATTGTAGGCCTCTCTAAAACTTGCATCTAAATGCCTTCATGTGGCACATCTGCAGATCATATGAAAATATCAAATTTGTTTGTAGTGAAAACCAACAGGAAATACCAGTTGACAGATACCATTGTTCTCTCTATGAGTCTGTGAGCTTCTGACTCAGATGGTCTCCAGTTCAAGTCAAAATCTCAGGTTTTAATGATACGTGATTAAATACAAAAGTTTTTGGTTTGGTTTTTTTAAATTAAATTTTAACTTGCCATGTTACATACCAGGAATAAAATACTGTAGGTGATCCTGGATGAACTCAGGACAAAAATCCCAATCCATATGTTTTCTTTATTTATAAAGATTAATGTAGACTTCATTTTATTTCAGTAGTTCATGTTGACTCTTAGAGTGCTGAATATATTTGACTGTAGTAGTAATCTCCGAAAGCTAATTTAGCTTTGTTCTATCAGTCCTTTTTGCCTAATCTAAGTCAGTCCTAAATGCATGTGGCTTCAAAGGAAAGAGAAAAAAGCCTAATGAAAATAGTCAGTGTGTTCCAAAATGTTAAAAAGACAGAAAGCTATTTAAAGAACAAAACATGTCTCAGGAGCTCGAGAATCACTGTGGACTGACATATGGTAATCGTATGTCAGCATATGCCTCTGCTGCATCTACAGCATATATCCATTTGCTAAATTCTATTTGTGTCCAAAGTTGTAGCAAGAAGATCAAGTTTCAATGTAGAAGCATGATGATATGTTTCATTTTTGATTTTCTGTAGAAGTAATCTTGCACATTATTATTTCCTTGCTCCTTTTCCTGACTTCAGAGACCATCCTGATGCTTATAAGTAAATTTTCCCATCTCCCCCCATGTTAATTTCTCAGTGTCAGGAAAGATAGGACCAACACTAAGATTAACTAGAAAAAAACACAGACTTTTTGCCCCTCTGCAAGATTCAAAAGGTGCAGTGAATACAAGCATGTAGAATTAGGAGAGAGGAAACAGTTTCATCTTCCTGCTCTAAATCTAATAATTTAATAACCTAACCACTGAGTCATTGTGTGTATTTGTCTCTGGTTTCTAGAACAGAAATCCCATTCTAAACCTGAGAACTCTCCCTTTGGAAAGTTTTGCTGAAGTTAATATAATGTTAGTTTCAATTAAATAGAAATATTAGAAAAGTGCTGGGAAATTTCCAGTGCTAGTCAGCTGCAAACTAGCTGTGAGATATGAGCTAACCCAAATTCTCATGTTGTTTCCCAAAGAAACATTTCTTCCTCCATCCCAAAGCTGAGGATAGCTGTTTGTTTTAGTTTTAGTGCCCATGTTAAAACTGAGAAACTACACATTTGACTGTTCTGGCAACTAGAAAAGTAGGTTATTAGGAGCTGCAAATAATTCTGACAATTAGCAGTAATAACACTGAATATTGTATAATACTTGATGGGTCTAAAATTTCTTCCATTACTCCAGCGTAAATGGCAAGCGAGCATTTTACATAGGGATACTGCGTGACTGTGAAATAGGCTAGAGGAAGAAAAGAAACCAAGCTGTAGAACTTCAAGTGTAATACAGTGTTGTCTGAGTTACACAGATGAAGTAAATGGAGCACATATTTCCTTTCTATCTGGAAACAAGCAGTGAAAAATTTCAATTTCCAGTCAGAAGGTCAGGGATCAGATTCTCCTCTCAAGATAAATCCCAAATAACTTTGCCAAAGGAATGTCACTAGATTGACCCTGCTATACTCAAGATGAGAAATTCACCCACGTTTTTGAGTCTCAAGCATGAATGAATGCAGCAAAGCACTCATTTAATCGTTTGGTTCCATTACACGGGACATAACTATGTCTGTCAAGAGCTAGGGAAAGGAGAGCTACTTTTAACGTGCACGGGTCCTGGCATTAGACAACCACCAGAATTTCTGCCTGAGGATTGCTGCACTGAAATCTACTGAAGGTTTACCATAACCCACCACAGTGGTGGCTGAGGAGAGGCCGTGTGATGTTAACAGCAGTTTCTGCTTCACTGCATTACCTTGTAATGACATTAGCAAATATTTTACATTCTGTGAGGGGAATGCTTCCCTCCTCCTCTCTGCCGCTAAGAAACAGTGAAGAGATGAGATCTGACACTTGAAAATGCTATGGTGCTGTGACCTCAACAGGGTATAAGATGGTCTTAGTGGATGCAGAAAATTCAGCTGCCTGAAGTACTTTTGCTTTGTCCAGCTGGTGTTCTACCGTCCACAAAGCTGCTTCCAGACAGCAGTGCTTTGTTATTCACTTGACTTTACTAGCCCTTGTCAGAGTTAATTGGATTTGTGACATGGTCAGATGTTTATTTCTTGATTCTGTTGTCCCTTGTCTTACAGGACACACATGCCAGGGGAAACTGCAGTACATCTAGCAAATAGTAAAATATGAAGAGATATGTGGACATGCTTTTTAGGAACTAAAATTTAAGGAAATGTGTGCTTAAAATATTTTTTTTTTACTCTAATATATGCCAATAACACTTAGCTCCCGATTTATCAAGATAATTAAAGCAGTTATAAAACTTTTTGTTTAAATATATCCACAGCTCTCCAGACAGTCAAATACCACACTCATTCTGTCATGCATACATGCCCAACTAAACCTTATTGTATCTGAATGCTATTTTGGGGAAGAATGCACATAAATCACAAAAATACAAGGTTACACTTTTGGTAAAATCTCTTCATTTATTAAGTATTAGAAAAACTTACATCTTTATGAAAGCCACTGCATACAGTCATAATTTGATTACACTTTCCTTTGTGTAATAACTTTTGGTTTGTGTATGAGATTACAATCTCAGGCTATAAAATAGTTCTTACACAACTCACTTTCTAAATCTTTGCTGCTATTACTGGTGTAGTATTTTGCTGTAAATGTTTTTAAATACAATTTAAAAATGTTTATCAAGTTATCGATACCTGTGATTTAAATCAAAAGCCACAAAAAAAGGGGATTTAATTTAGAACTGCTGCAAAAAGCATGAGTTTTAGAGCAGATTCCCAGATAAGGTTTTATTCTGAAATACAATCTACCTGCTTACAGAAGTTTTGGTTAGATGAGAGGCACATACATTGCCTTTGAAAACAGATACACATACACATGCTCACACCCAGAGCACACATGGGTCACACCACCCTGGAAGTCACAGTGGATACAGTGTTTTCTTCAGGCTTGAAACAACAGTAAATAAATCCACCACGGTCTCGGGTACAAAGAGCATACAGGAATACCTGAACATTCACTCATATGTCAGCATGAGCTAAATTTCATAGATGTTATTTGATAGTAAGAGCCATAAGACAGGAAGAGAGAGACAGACTGACAAAACAGTTAAGCATGGGCTTAACTTTAAGTTTGTATCTAAATCCTTATGAAGTCAACAGCTATGCTGTTGGAGCTATGCCAGTGTGCAGCTGAAGATGTGACCATCCCAGTTTACTTCATGTAAGCATGTTGTTACTAAGTTCGTACGCAGAAATGGAGTTAGGCAACTATTTGTAAGTGTTGTGAAAAACATATTAGCAAAATTTTTATATTGGCTAGTGCAAAAGAATAATAAAATCAAAGAGAAACTACTTGTCATCACGTCAGCAAGAAACAGTGTGCACGATTTATTTCTATTTCATTCCAGTTTTATTATTAACAGAGCTCCAATGCTTTCAATGCACATAAAGCCAGCATAGCACAGAGGCAAATCAACTGAGCTTGGTTTCATTTTGGACAGCATTGGAAGCATCTGCTAAATGTACAACAAGACCAACTTTCTCTACCCCAACATATTATAATAGATGAGAAACAGGAGAGGATTTTTTTTTTTTAATTATAATGCTTCCATCTTTTGTATTGATTTTGACAGGCCATTGGACCCATTAAAGAAGACGATGTTTGCTCCTTCACTTCTTGCATTGTAGATACAAGCAAAAAGACTATCCACCTTGATCCTGAAACTGTTATTCTACCCCACTAGGAACTTCAGGAATGAACTTACTAACTTTAGTGGGGCAAGGTATGAAGTTAAATCACTAAGTTTCTGAAAAAGTTACCAAGCTGGAGAAATTCTATCAGAATATTATCTTCTATAGTATCAGTGTTTCTGTTTGACAAATTAATTATAAGAAGCATTATCTTATGCTGTAGTGTATTATGTTAATTAAAAGTTCTTCATTAAATTTCACTGAGGGCAATCATAAAAAAAGGTATCATCTCCAGACAACAGTCTATAAAATATTTGGTATATCATAGTTGCTTTATTTCATTAACATGTGTCTTTCAATATCATTATTTAGCTTCAATAAAGTTGAGATTTATTTATTTATATGGCATCTAGTAGCAATCTACAAGCAATAGCTGGAGCAGAAAAAATGGTTCTTCTCCAACCATGCCTATTATTGTGAATTGATTTATTTTAGAGCTCAATTAGGAAAGATAAGTTTTCTAGCAAGCTATTCGAAATGCAGTAACATATTAAAGAACAATCAGGAAAAGAAAGAAAAATTGCTTTGTGCTTTTATTATTTATTAACCTGTTTGAGTTAGCACTTCTTTTATACAAACACGAAGAGTTACAAGCCCCATAATACTCTGTGCTATTAAACTGTACTGTTCTCAGCCCTAAAAAGATAGGAGAAAAACTATTAGGGTCAACAACCATGTACACACCAACATAAAGCTTATCAGCTTTTATTTATTCTTACAGTTCTTTCACAATACATTATTAATACCAAGGTTGTATCAACTACCATGAACTGATTAAAAACTTGCATGTAAGTCCACAAGATACTGCTGAGGTCTGATTCAATCTAAAACAAGATTAGATATTTGTAGGAGAATCAAGAATGTCTGTAAAGAAAAAGCAAAAGCACAAAACCTCAACGAAACCCAATGCTCTGTCAGAAGCCAAATTCCAACTTAAAAAGCAACATTCCTCTAGACATGCTGTTGGATTTTGTGTCATTTCTACATGAACCTTGGAAGCAAGACTGCCAAAAAATTATGTGTTAAAGGCATACATCTCTCTTTTCAGATACAAGGCCTTCCTTAGTGACAGGAATAGGATGTCCACTTACAAAACAATTTATTAGAAAACTACCAAAAGCTGACACAAGAGAAAACATTTCCAGACCTGAAAGTTCCTTAGCTCTCCACCCTGCCAGGAGACAGGCTGCACATGCAGCACATTACCCCATGATGACAGGGACCCTTTGGGTGGTACCTGAGAGGAAGTCCATCTGGCCACCTGCTTTGGAGCCGGCAGCCCTGGAAGTGCTGCCATCCCTGACGCAGAGGCAGCTGCAGCTCTTGGAAGGCTGGGCCACCTGCCAAGTGGATGGGTAGATAAGCTGGCAGGCAACCAGCAAGTTTCTGACAAAAATCTGACAAGCTTGGGTTCCACATGATTTTTTTATTTTTGAAACATAAGAATGCTAGTTTCTATTCATACCAAAGTTCCAAGTAGTTTATGTTAGGAAGTGCACCTTGTAAAAGTCCATTTCCTGTCTCCAAAACGTATGTTGAGTAAAATTTAACTTGACAGTTTGCCACGAAGGTCAGATAAAAACAAACAATATATGCCTAATGAGAAAAATTAGTATTGAAATAAGAACTGTACCATATACCTAGTAAGTCTGTGTCATCTATTGCCGGAGTAGTGCAATACTGTAGAAGTTCTGCAAATAGTTCTAAGAAACACTGCTGAAGTATCAGAAGCAATGAAGCTGCTTTACTGTGGCACCTCCTCAGGCACGCTAGGGCCACACATGGGCAGACATTAACCATAATAATGGTTTAAAATGTTGTAACTCTCCCAAGTTTTTGTTAACTTCCCTTAGCAAGAATTAGTAAAAGGATAATGTAATCTACTGATACAGCTCAGTATGAAGTTGTCTCAGCACAAAATTTAATCAGTATTTTACACATAAAGTAGCACATGTTAATGGAGTTACACTGAATATTGTGTCTGAGCTAGAACCTTCGGCTTGGATTGTGCAGTTTGCTTACCTATTTAGAAGAGAAGGAAAATCTACAGACCTCCCATTACTGAACAGAAGAATAATTAAGTAGCAACAACTTAGCTCTTGCAGTAGCTAAACTGAAGAATTTTAGCAGCCTTCAGCCGTGTAAAATATTATTTGGGGATTGAAGGTTGAATCCACACTGATCAATCCAATATTCTTCCTGCACTTGTGTCAATGCTTTACACCCTGACAGGGTGGCTGGCAAGCCACAACCCAAGTTCATACTGCTTTGCAGTCAGGAGTTCACTAGAAAGGAATGCTGACAGTCGTCTCTTTTGAGTACCTCAATCTCGCTGCATTTGGTTTTCAGTATTTCCCCTTCACCATTTGAAATAAATGCAGGTTTCATGCACCCCCTTTAGTATTAATTAGCCCGAGGCCCAACACTTGGGACCAAAACAGCTTTATGCTACGTTATATTCCTTCAGCTTTTAAAAGGGTGAGAACCAGTTTCAGCTCTTCTACTTTTTTTTTTTTTGCCAGAACCTAAAGAATCTGTTAAGGAAAGCAGGAATCACTGAAGCAAAGAAGGATCCACATCAGGCATTCTGTCCTTTGACAACAAGAAAATACCAGCATCTCTTTTGCAATGTGGAATTTCTGCTGTACCAGTACAAGACTTCAGAGAGAAAATATCTGGCAAAAGGAAAAGTGAAAAGCCTTGTCTCAAAGCTTCCATTTTATATATTACACAATTTAACTTCTCTGACCAAGGAAGGTGGTGACTGCCAACTCTTCTTCCCTGAGAGCCAGAAGGAATAGCAGAGCATAGAGGTAGTCAGTACACATTTTAATGTACTGCTGTCTCATGCACTCTGGACCATCAAGAGAAAAACTGTGTGTTACTTGTAAGGCTTCCACTCTAGTGAATCTCATCTGTTTGGCTCTCCTCCTAATAATACCAACCAGCACCCCGCAAACATGTTCATACTGTATTAGAATATAACAATTTTGTAAATGTGGAAAAGAGACACATTTTTTGAAGTCAATGACTGCAGCTAGCAAAAGCCACCTCATACACTGCAGACCACTTGTGCAAGTCAAGGCCTTTTCATCAGAGAATACCTTTATTTCATGAACTGATATGAAGCTGAATTTTTTTTTCCACCTTGCATGTCCTCAGTCACTGGCATTTTTCATGTGACAAAGCAAATGCTAATTCTCTATGGGCTGTAAGGGAAAACAGCTGCTAGTTATAATGGGGGTTTTGAGAGCACTTGGTCAACCAAACTGCATAGGTTTAAGTACCTCCAGACTGTATTACATCTGTCAAAGCAGCAGCAAATACAACATAAAATGTAGAGTAGGTCCCATTTTTAGTGTGTCAGTAGAATCAGCCTGCAGTTATTTTTAACTGCCTTGGAAAGCTTAGCAGGCAGATACAGTTAATCCTTTAAAGGATTTGCAGGTATTCATAGCTTAATAAGTAAGCATAGTGGATTAAACCAATAGAAGATTGTAGACAGTCAAAGACAACCATTACATGCTAACATTCAAAAAATAAAAAGAACAGTTTCTTTTGTATACTTTTTTTCCTGACAATTGCTCTCAATTGTCAGTATGGGCCAGAATCCCATACAGTGATGAAATAAAAACGTTAATTAGAGTCATTAAAGTCAACATGTGTGATATTTAAATCATCAGAAAGCAGTGAATTTCTGTTGTCTTCTTTTCCCATTATCCTATAAACGCTTTGAAAAGCAGAACTGCACCATGAAAATTAATTAAAAATACATCTACTTATGCAATAAATAAATAATAAAACTAAAATGGTAAGATTCATTTTAGGAAGAAAAAAAAAAGCTGAGTGACTTTTACAGGTCAGATTTTATATTGGTTGTATTCTTTCTCAGGATTCACTGACACAGGCTCGACTGAGAGATGAGGGCCCTTCAATATATTCATAAACAATGTGGAAAAGTACACCCATAATAAGACAAAGAAAAAAAATCAGATGACAGAAAACTATTAGGCTGAGAAAATCTAGGGCTGGCTATGAAAAGCTTTAGAGTTTGGTTCAATACTGAATGGGTGATAAAATGCCAGAGGCTATTCGGTGCCATTAAGTGCAATGCACATCAAGAGAGGAAGAGAAAGTACACACATATGTATATCCATAAGGTGCTAGTATCACCAGGAAAGAAATCTGAAAACATCTGGTGCTTAAAGAAGCAAACAAACTTAGGAATTATTTAAAAATTAATAGAGAAAAACATGAAAAATCTGCCCTGTAAATGCTCAGGCCACAGACACATTATGAATACTCTGTGGAGTTTTAGTCATTCCATTATCAAAAAGGTTATTATGGTAGAATTAGAAAAATATGTAAAAAAGAATATGACAGCAATGTATTAAGTCATGGATTTTAGTAAAAAGGTAAGCTGGGAATTGCTATTCACTAGTTTTCATAATATAAATACTCAAAGGCATGCGTTTTTTTGGTAGTAATAAATTAAACTAATTTTCATTAGATAGTGTGAGGCAGAAACTGTACATGGATCAAAAAAATCATGACTTCATTGATTCAGCAGTTCTATTCAGTAGGTCAGCAGTAACTATTAAACAAAAGAGTCTCCTAGCCACTGAAGGCTAGAAGAGCATGATGGAAAAATCACTGTAAGCATGACTGCTTCCAGACATGTTTTTCCATAAGTATCTAGTTACTAGGTTAGGGAGACTTGTCATCTGGCTGAAATCAGCAGTTCTTAAAACCTAATGACTAAAATGATCGAAATCATGATGTATATTGTTTGGTGTATTTTTACAAGAAATTTGACCAGGACCTCCCTGGTTCTATCATTGCTATTTAAAAAGAACCAAGATGAAACAAAATTGTTTCATTAAATGTACAACGGAAGAAGCCTAATTCCCTACACATTTTTAAGGTTATATACTCTGGCTACCAGACAAATCACTCCTTTCACACCTCAACTGTGTTAACTGAAATATATATATATATATACACACGCACACACACACCATAGTTGAAAAGAGTTGAAATATATGGAGATAATAAATATATGAAAGATAAAAGAAGAATACAACTGCACAAGGTTATAATTAGGACCCTGCTCTTCCCAGATGATTCAATAGTGGAATATATTGTTGACTGTGCCACTTGAACAGAATTGTGAGACATCGGAACACAGGACTAGAAGGGAACTCCTGAATCACTGCAAATAATCAACTCTTACACTTGCAGTCATATCACTCAATCCCTTTCAGAAGCTGACGAAAGCCCCTTTCATAACTCGATCAGATGGCAGCCTCGAGGTGTCTCTGCCCTGACTGAAAATTCATTTTGATTTTTAGACTTCATGTATTCCTAGTCAGTCAACGACTTACGCTCTTTCCTAACGCAGTCCCTTAATTTAAACAGAGCTTTACCTCTTTGGTGGTACATTCAGAGAAAGGAATCGTATCATCTGTTAATACCCATTCTGCTTGGCTCAAGTCAAGCTCTGTTACAGCACAGCTCTCTTACAACATGGTATGCAATGTGAAGAGGTCCAAGCTGACTGGGACGCCACGCCAGTCAGTGCAGACACTGTGGACATTCTATACCCGCATGCCCCTTGTTCTAAGAGCGGTACAGATATGTTAGCACATTCCTTTCAAACCAATGTGCCCTGTCACCAAGACAGCCAGTCTTCTTCAACATGTATTCAAAGCCAAACTAACGTGGCTGTACTAATTCACTTCTGGAAATAGTTTAGTGGTGGTTAGATCAATTATTTCTATACCATACTTCACTGTGTAGTGTAATTATGCTCCCAGACTCACACTGTACACTTCTAATCCCACGGATCACTATGCTCTTTCTCCTCACTGATTTTGTACTGATTTGCCTTTCTGGAATGCAGAATTTCCATGGAACAGACTCCAATTTTTTCATACTTCTCAAAGTCTGGCATGCAAACTGAAAAGATTTTCAGTTTGCACCGATGGCTTTGCTGGAATGCTGAGCCCTACGAGTCACTACAATGATTCTGAAGCTTAGTGACAACTCTATTATGAGAATGACATCACTTCTTATCATTTTGGAAGAAACCTCTCCCTAATATAGTAGTGGCAGATAACTGGTATCACTATCACTGACTTCCTAAGAGATGCCTGACAAAGGAAGAAATGACGTTAAAACAGTAGGAAATGAAGATTGACAGAACCCTTGACCATGGTTCTGCACTTTTAAGAGCAGTCTGTCTTAATTTCTCACACATTCCAATCTTTCCCCTGTACAAGCCAATTTGCTTAGTTAACCTGGACATCTTTCAGTCCTCGTGGTTTCTCTGGCTCTGTTCCACACTGCAGATTTGTTGCTGCAAGTCACTCCTACTAACAGACACTGCATAGAGAACACAGTTTCAGGAAGTCTACCACTTATCTGACTGAATGCTTCACTGTCATATCAGCACTTTTTATGAATTCAGGAAGGGCAGGGACTAGGAGTGGGAATGAGAGCAATTGCTTGGGCAATGGATTCTATCCTGACACAAGCATGAAGGGAAGACCAGCACAAAGAGCAACAAAAGCCTTATAGAAGGATTTGAAGGCATAAAAGGGCTCCAAAACGCAGGGATACAGTAAGAAAAGTTTTATCACAAAGCAAATGAGATATAGTATCATATAATCATTTAGGTTGAAAAAGACCTCTAAGATCACTGAGTCCAACCATTAACCTAACACTGACAGATCCACCACTAAACCACGTCCCTAAGCACCACAACATGTGGTGCTAATGACCCTAATGTGGTCACCAACATGTGGTGCCAGGACCCTAATGACCTAGAGCAACTTGGTGGATGGGAGTATGAGGGGCATTCATGTTTTATAAATTAATTAGAAAGGGGCTGTGAAAAACAAAGTGGCTTAAGAGAAAGGACATACTGAAAAACATTCAAAATGGAGATTTTCTATTTTTAAATGTGTGGCCTTCTGCACAAATTTAAATTTAGTTATTGAATATCACCACATAACAATAATAGCTGTGTACATGTATTTAATCTTACAAAAACAAGCAAAATATTACTGAAGTTGAATATGAAGACTATATGTATTTACCCCAATATGAAACCACAAAATGTTTGATGTAATTTATACCTTAACATATATTTTGGAAATATATAACACATATCTGAAATCAGACTATGTAATTAGAAAGATCTGTATTTGCTCAGCAGAGGAAGCAGGACAGTGGTACGTCCTCATTCCCTTTCTGCCATCATAATGTCCTATTGCCACTGTACCTGACTTCTGTGTTCCTCACACACTGAAGAAATGAATGAATAAGAGGAAAGCCTGCAGGAAGTCTCTGTGCTGCACTGTCCTTTCACGCTTGTTTTGCGTTGCGGCAATACCTCTGGCTTAATAGAGGTTTCACTTGATTTAGTTCAAGTCAAGAGAAGAATCAGCCTCACCACCACTGAGCCCATATACCTGTGCAACATGGCCTTAACGTTCCTGACCAGCATTCTGAATGCCTGTCCAAAGGCAAAACAAAGCGATCAGAGATTCCAGATGCAATCTGAACGTAATGTGATGTGAGCCAGACAAATCTTCAACTGAAGCGCCACCGTTAATCTCTTTCCAAAACACAGAACATTGCATTAATAAATATCCATACTCGCTTCAAAACCTTCAGAGTATCTAGCTAGAACACTTTCACTTTAGCCCTACAGTAGAGGGTCAGCGAATTTTCACCATAAATCATCATCTTAAAGACAGATGCTGCATTGGCAGTTTGCAAATAATTTGGAGAAAAAAAATTAAACCAAATCCAGCAACCCCTAGCGCAAAACAGAATGTTGGACAACTATATATTTGGTTTTGACAAAAAAAAATTCCGATTGTCTTACAAAGTGTGTCACATTGAATAAACCTAGAATTTTTCTTTCCTTTATTTTCTTTGGTACTTTTTCTCACCTAGGTATCCTTGCTGTGAATCAGTTTCATAGGACGGTACTTCTCTGAATTCAGATTTGATCCTTTTTCTTTACTCTGTCAAGATTCTTACCAAAGTAATGAGGAATTGTTTTTATTATCCACAAGATGCAAGATTTATTCCTTTATTATGAGTAAATAAATATATAAAATAATCAGTTAATCCTCAGCTACATCCACAAACCTGCTCCCATCACACAGAGATTAAGAATTAAACAGAGGCCTTTCCCTTGACTGTAGCATCACTGAGCCAAGGGCAGGGATAAGAACCTGGGAGGGTGCCACGAAAGGGACAAGAACAAAGCATCTGTTCTGTGTGGATTTTTCTCTCCTCCCACACACTGAAGGGAGAGATGCACATGAAATGTGCGCAGTGTTTATTTTTAACCAGTTAGGCAAAGGGCCATGATGGCCCTGTCCCATTACTCTGTTTATCTCAAGGACAGCTACAAATGCCTCCTGCCGAGATCTCATATACTCCAGTCATGACATGATATCCCCATCCCTATTTTTTAACTGTTGCCTTATATGTTAGAAATGTGTCTCAGCAATGCATATTCTTGGCACTCTGGGTGCAGTTCTGCTAATTGTTTTTGTGCATCACATCTCTTAATACAACTTATGGATAGGTTTTATCAGGACTTAAACAAATGCCAAAAAAAACCAAAGCAGGCCTCCTTCCACTCCAAAGAACCTTTTTAATT